TAATTTGTATAATGCTAAGAAGCTGTTGGCTGCTTTTGTTTTGCCATGTTTAAAGGCTTAAAACTTGACCGATAAGCTCCCGCTTGTCCAGAATGCTGCAGGAAGAGGATCAACAGAGCCATGCAAGACATATGATAACAATTTTGCCATCATTACATTGGCTTTCATTCTTTTTGGCTAGATATTAAAGTATTGCTATTATTTTCAAAAGCATTTAATGGAATCATACTACTATCTCCATCATCTCCTTATGACTCTGTATTAGTCATTAGTTGTCTATAGACTATATTAATCCCATGCCCTATCACTCACACTGAGGCATTGTATTTTAGTGAATTTAACATGAAAACCCAACACTGTTTGTCATATTAGAATTTGTTCTGCTTTCTATGTATTTTAATTAATTAAAAAAATCTATTCCTTAACATACAAAGGTCAGTTCAGTCTGTAGGACATCTTTTAGGACCCTTTATAAACAATCAATATAAATAGAGGTCATTCTAAAAAACTGACTGCACATGATTTGTGTTCTCTCTGCTTAAAGGCCTATACAGGCTTAGAAGTATCCATATGGCATGTCGTGCTTGGACCCCAAACATTATCACTTGCTGCTATAATTGTCAACGGTCCCTTAGTAGCTCAAAGATGCATAAAAATCACAGCATCTTATGAAAAATCTATTTCAGATCAAGCTGTATAACAATAATTTTTGGTCAGAAGTTGTTAAAGAAAGAAATGCTTATATGTGAATATGGACCCACTTTCAGCTGTACGGTTAGCTAATCTTAACCATAGCTTTTTACATCAGATATTTGATAAGTTATAACTGTTATAACTGTAGCAGCTGAACTGCAAAATCGTATGCATCAACAAACAGAAATAAAAGAGCTTAAGGTAAATAAAGCCCTGCTTTACATCTTCCTGAACATGTTGCAGATGTGCTATGTCAATTGACCAAATGAGACCATGACCAAAACCCCCCAATCCCACCCTCCAGTGTAGTACTCCTCTCTCTCTATAGAAGCTTCTGTTTCTGACAAATTGTCAGACTAATGGAAACACAACACAATTGCAAGGTGGGAGTCACCTCTTGCATGTTGGCTGTCCTAATGCCTACAAATGTTTTGCATCAACATGATTCTTAAAACAACAAGTGCAGTGGTGGAGTCAGTCCAGTAAGTCACACCACTGGTTGTGAAGGTGAGCTCTCTTTGCAAGGTCAAACTAAGTTGTGTAGGTTGTGTACAGTTCCTAGTGTTTGAATTGGTTGCTGATTCTTGAGTGGGACTCTGGACAGAGCTGCAGGAAGGTCACTATCACTCTTCTTTCTATCTTCTGTTTGAATGTTGGCTACTGAGCCATTTGCTCTCTAGTGCATCTGAGAAGATATGAACACAGAAAGATCTGCCTGAGGGTGGACACGGAGCTAAAGGAGTTTGTCATCCCAGTACACCACCTTCAGTAAGTTCTGTCAGAAGCTGAGGGTCACACCAATCTTGCTTTTTATCTGAAAGGCACTGCACAAACATTTGACCCCTGTGGTGTAAGGAATGAGGAACCTGAGAGGACCATACTGACTTGCCAAAGTTCAGTACATACTGCACATAAACTCAGGACTCGCAAGTTGACAGTGATTGTACATTATTGTATCAGGCATAAACTGCCACAAGAGTCCAAGAGCTCTTTTCTGAATATCAGCACAATTTAAGAACCATAACTTGCTGCTCAGACCTCATCTCCTTTGGTACATGACTAAGGGTTGAAGGAGGGTTGCAGCCCCTTTAGAGTAATTTAAAGCAACCAGTCAGAAGTAGTTGCTGTAATTTGTTGACCTACTTTGCGGTCTTAGAGACAGAATCCAGACTTTGCAGGAAGTCGTCGACACAGAAACGACTAAAAAGTTTAATTTTCACCTGGAGTGCTATGATCATAAACATACTTCTGGGGGGCAAAATTGGCACAACTCATACAAATCAGATGATTTGGCACACGAACGTGAAGAAGTTCTCCAAGAACAGTTGCTCCTAGGGAAGGTAGAAGTTCTTCATTAAACATTAACATTTTATCGACATATTTAAATGAGCAGTTTCAGACGATGTGATCCTTTTCATTGTCATGACCCATGTGATGTACCACAAGTTACAACTATCTTCAGCTGCGTCAGGAGAGAGTTTGCAGATATAGCCAACATCCAATCACTTCTGAACATCAATGTTCAAGATTTAGGTGGCCAAAAACTGCCTGTTTTGTTACTCTGTTATGATAGAACACCAATTTGGCAGATCTTAGTCACATTACTGAAGAGTTCAGAGGTGTCAACAGGCAATGTGGGGTGGTTGGCTGATGCTGGAGGAACTTTGGCAGACCTTGCAGAATCTAGATGAGTCTTTAGAACTGCTGGTCCAGCAGGGGGCGTCACCAGGCACACCAGTTCTATAGGCATGATTAGTCAGAGTTGATACACAGTAGAGAATTGGCTTGACTGAAGAGGTGAAGTGGCAAAATCCCAGAGATGCCTGTATTTTTTCTATAGTGCCTCTGTTGGATGTGCATGCTTTGAAGCCTAGCGCTACTGCTATGAAAGCGGTACAGATATGGAAGCTTGGTGTCTTGGAGAAAGAAGGATATAGATAAGGATGCAGAATTACCTTTAATGTTTCAGACATCCTGTCAGAAAGCTCAAAGTCCTCCTTTTCAGGTGAGCCAAGCCCAACTTTTCTAGCATTATTATTATTTTTGAGCCATCATCAAAAATGACATAAGTCTTCTGGCCACTGTCCACATGAACACCTTCACTTGAGCAGTATGCAGCTGCTCTCGGTTGGATGATTAAGGCCCTCTTCCTTGTAAGTGGTTGGTGTCTGTGCTTGGTCTTTCTTTTTGCCATCATCCACACTAGAGTGCTGTTACACCTTCATTCCTTAGTAAATCCAGAATCTCCATCAAGGACTGGACCTTCAGTGCAAACTTTCGAAAACATCTGATCTCACCATTCTTGATTGCTGGCCCATCCAATACTTCAGTAAAGAATGATCAACAAGGATCTGAAATTTGAATGGCTCTATAGGTGTAAATATATTGTCCAACATTCTTAAGTCTAGCAAACTGATATGGATAATCTCTAGTTAAGTCTTGAAGTGATGTTATTGGTCCATAGTAGGTCAGATCTTGACTGGAATGGAAAGTCGCCTGCAGGGTTCTCCTTGTTGCAGGATGCTGACAGGGAAAAGGCTACTTGTGTGCTTCAGGGCCATGGAGATGAACAAGTGTACTGTGTGTAGATTAGTTTGGTAAGTTGTAAGTGTTACCTGGTAGAAAAGGGAGGGGATGCAATGCCTCTGCTCCTTGACACATGACTGGGGAGGAGGTTTAGGCCATGTCGGATCATCTGGACTATCCTCCAAGGACATGAAAGTCTTACTAGTAGGATGGGCTTTAGCACTTATTAAATAGGGTCTGTTCCCAATGTTTAAAGCCTTTTTGGTGATCTATGTCAAGAACATGTCACTAGTGTTTGATCTAATGACTGAGAATAGAAAAATTTTGCACTGGGAAGTTTTGCATGTGTCTCTTAAATGATTTATTCTCTTCTCTAAACTCCTTGTGTGCTAAGACAATTACTGCAGGACTGAAAGAACTATATAAAGAGTCTCTGTTTGTTCAGTGCCAGAGTGGAGCAATCTGGCAAGAATGTGATGAACTGAGAAACAGTGCTCTCTATCTTCAGGATGGCTGTGGATGGCCGATGGTCTATGTTGTCTGGGAAGACTTACTTTATAATCTAAAAGATGATGTGGTGGCCAGATAATCCCGTGTGGGTTTTCCACATCATATCTTTTTAAAGAAGTTATTTTTGTCAACTGCAATCACTACAGAAAGTCTGGAAAGAACTGGACTGATCTGAAAAAAGTACACAATGAGAAGGTATTGTCCACCACACACATCCAAGATACTATGATACAAGATTTGCATGAGAAATCTTGTGACCGCACAAGCTAAAGAGAATTCCACTTGCTTTTTACAGTTCTTTTGTGGGATGGGAAAAAGAAACAGGTACTCCACCAGGATACAGATAGTTCTGCGTTTGAATTAACCATACTATACCTTACTGCCCGGTGCAAAAAGACCATAAGAAAGTACTGCATCTAGTCAGAGAAAAAAACTGGAAAGTACTGGAAAACTCTGCTTCCAAACCAGCTGCTACAGTAATTAGTCCCCTCTTAGAGCTGTAACTGGCCAGATAGTTAAAGAATCATGCTGCCAAGTAATTAGATGGAAAATGTAGTGTGATGTGGAATTGACCTAAATCCTACTTCCTATTTTTGCCCACAAGAGGGCACTAACCTCATCAAAACAGACCAAAGTACTAAAGGGCTGACCTTTAGAACAGTGACCATGTGCAGCTGTTTTCATGTTTTATTGGTAAAGCCATTCTGTGGACATCATACAAGCTTTACATGCACAGTTGAACACCTGGCTCAGCAGTAAGTGCACTTGAAAGTTGCTGAATTCTCTAATTAGAAGGGCTGTCCGAATATGTTTTAATATCTAGTGTATGACCGTTCCTTTTTTAGATCAAAGGTGCCAGGTGAAGCTGGTCATGTCTAAAGTGATTATTTGTGTATTCAGTTATGTATGCAAGTCTTCCTTTGTAAAGTTTATGCTTTAAAAAGTGCGTTTTGAAATAACTGTATCTTATTATTGTTTTTCTACACATTATGATTAGTTAAAGGACAGAAGGCCATTTAATCCAGGTTACCGTGTTTAGCGCAGCTACTGCTGAGTCCAAATGTTGTATTATCTTCTGTGTTTTTAATTAAATTTAGTATCTTTAATTCACACTTTACCACATATTTTATGCATGAAAAAAACTTCTTGTATGCAGACTTTGAAGTTTTAGTCTACACCATACAGCACATACAGAGAAAACTGTAGTCAGCCAGTTCTCCATTATTGTAAATTATTGGTTGACAACAGAAGAAACCTAGAATGTCTTTGCATGTTCTAGCTGTTTATTTAATGCTTTGCTCATGTTGATATATACAGGTCTTGATAATGATTACTAACATTACAGCATTATAATCATGTATTTCCCCTTTGCTATTTGCAGCATGTTTTCTTCTTAAAGCTTGTATGGATGTTTACCAAATTAAAAACTTATATTATGTTCTACTTTATGTGGTTTGAGTTAAGCAATAATACAGCACTAGTGCTTTTAATATTTTATGGAAAAGAAAAATATGAAACTATGTGCTAAAAAAGTAAAGTGTTGTTCACAAGATGCAGTTAATTCAGCTTGCAGTCCATCGTTCAGTGTTCCTCATTTAAACGATGTACTGGCTCACATCTCGGTTCTTACATTTATTACGCCACCCCACCCTAAGAAAAAGAAAAAACAGTTTAGTTATTTATTTGACCAAGTTCCTCATGTCAGTTCATTTAAGGGCCCATGTCTGTGATGTCTGTAGATTTTTCTTGTATTTTATTTTTTCTCCTGAGCTCCACTTATGATGTTTTTCTGGTTTTATGTACCAAAAAAGTCATAATTCATTTTTACATTTTCTAACCGTTCTTTATCCCTTTACAACAGGGGTCTTCGGTCCTGGTCTGGTGTCCAGCACAGCGTGATGGTTTTCTTGCTCTACCACACCAGATTCAACTTATCTGTTAATTGTCAAGTTTACTGTGTGTGTTTTGAGTAGAGCAATTGCCATCTGTGCCGAACACCGGACCTACAGGACTTCTTGGTTTTTGTGACATCACAGAAACAATTAATTCAAAACAGGCTGTTTTTGCAGTTTAATTTCCATTAATGGACTTTATGGACTGAAGAGTTAAAGGTATGTTTTGAAACTTTAACAGTGGTTGCCCAGCACATTAAACTCTTTTATTTAAAAATAAAGAATGGATCATTTGTATTTCATAATATAGGCCCTTTAAACCTGATTATCTACTCTTACCATGCTGAGATGCCCTGCTGACTCACTATGGTCTTGGCACACTGGATGGCAGCGGAGATGTTATCAGTCAGTAGTTCTGTTGGAGGAAACAAGAGTTAAGTTAGTTACATGAGTCTGGTCCATTTTACACAAAGTATGCCATTTTCAATGTAATTTTTATTATGGAAACCTGTCAGGTAATGACAGGTCCGTTGCATGTCATTACACATGTATCATTATATAATGCTTCATGATGCTTCACTGTTAAGTGTTTTAAAACATGTTCTTATGGCTGCAGGAGATTCGACAGCCGTTGTGGCTGGGGAACTGGCCATTAGAACACCACCAGCGGTTGTTGATCTGGAAAATGCCGTAGTCCGTTGAGCCGTCAGTGTTTTTGTTGGTGGCCTGAGTGTTATAGCGGGACTCTGCGTTGGCCAGGCAAACCCCTACAGATAAAGGAGTATAATAAGCATTCTTTTAAATATAATAAACAGTTGACTTAATACAGAATCAACAATGCAAATATGTAGGCAGGTTTAGTCTTAACATCTAAGGGTGTAACTCACAAATCTTGTGATTTGAGGCATTTCATAATCTAACATGCAGGACAGTTGATTATTACCCTTTTTTAAGGAACTATCATGCATTCAGCTAAAGGCTGCCTTTGCACTTCAACATCTTCGTAGAAGTTACAAATATAATTGTGATTTATACGCTGTTATCCTGTACCAACAAAGCTGAAATTAGGTTTCTCTGCAAATAAATTCATGACATTTAGCAGATGCTCATATCCAGAGTGACTTTGCATTTTGTTGTCCACTCATAAAATACATAACATACATTTATACTAAATATATATCTTATTACTTTCATATCTCTTGTTTAAATTAGTATTTTTAAAGTATTTTAGCAACAAAATATACCATAATTTAAATTTCATTTATTAAAAAGGTGATTTGAAACCTACTTACCTTCTTGATTTACTTACTTGGCTCCCCTAAAACACTGCACTCTGACACCCCAACACAAAACGTTTGGCCATCTCTGACTTCAATGCTGCATCTACGACTAACTGTATCATTTATACTGTGCTCACTTAGCAAGGCTGTGATTTTCTTACAGCGTTCATGTACTGCAAGCTTACTGCACCAACTATTCAGTCTCATATATGAAACCCCTCCTGTCTCTGCTCTACTAAAATAATAAATGTATTTAATGTACTCAATTCAGATGTGTACACAATTTCCACCTGAATATACTGCATCAGTACAGCTGTGTCTTTGTTTGCTTACTACTGGCAAGAACTGTGTTATAACATTTTATTCATGAGAAAATAATGTGCCTACACATGAAGCAAGGTAATACAATGCATCGTGTAGGCTGTCCTGCACAATTTAGATGTTTAAGTTTTAGGCCTGTTCCTCTATTTGTGAACAAACTGGAGAAACCTCAATCGTCAAATAAACTACTAAACATTTAAAAGGCTATTGGAGCACTCACAGTCAGCCAGACTGATGCCTTTGAAGCCAGACATTCCAGCTGCTTTCAGCGTTCTCACCAGCTCGCATCTGTCGAACACCTTGGCACTGGTCACCGCCACCAGCAGGAGGAGCACCCAAATCTTCATTGTGCTGCAGGACGAGAAAGAATGTCTGGAAGTGTTGCTGAGTGTTGTGTGTGTTCTGCCTTGCTCTTCTCAAGGATATATATAGCAGTATTGAAGGAAATGCTGTGATTACTGGAATTTTTTTTTTGTGAACGTTATGTAACCTTCCTGAAAGCTAATTCCTAATTTGATTGGTGTATTTTATCATAGCCAATTGCTTCTTTGTCTGGTCTTGTTGGGCAAACAAATAACTCAATCTGAATAAAATTGTGCAAACACATACGGCAAACAGATTTAATCTACAGCTTGAAAACCAGAGCACTTCTGATTATCAATTTGAGTTAAAGAACATGTGAAACTGTTCTTGGTCACAAACTGCAGGTGTATGTGTGGTTGTGGAGCAAAAGCAGTGATGATCAGATAACATGAGAGGAAGTCTCTGCTCCTTTTCTTTCACTTTTCACATGATTCTGATACCACATTTTTAAACATATATTATTTCAACACTGAAGAAACTTGAATGTGTTGTGTATTTTGTATGTTTCTTCCAGTTACACTGTTAGGCTCACTGTTGTTGCCATCAGTCATCAGGCAGCATATTCGTAATCATTTCATAAGATAGATGAAATTACAGAGCTTTTAGAAGTAATAAATGCTTTGAACATCTGGTTCTCATTAACAATGCTTTAAACAATTTTGACTCTGTAAGTTTTTCTAGGACTGCATATTTCACATCAAACCTCTCTGTATGACTTTGTTTACATCTTTATCAATTTAATTATGCAGAAACTGGAAAAATTCCCCAGTAGAATTCCCTTTTAAACACTTTAGTCACTGCACTTGTGTATAACAAAATGTACGTAATATAATATTGTGGCATCAGAGCATGCTATTGTTCCCATAATGCTTTATGCATGCTCAGTCAGATTGTATTTTGTTAAAGAAAACGGTAAATAAAGGTTTTCGGTTGCATGTTCAGTGTTCATGCTAATGTTTACAGCTTATGTGAACTGCTGAGCAGGTTGGGTAAGTACTGGGTTTTGGGAGTGTGAGTTACCATCACCCAGATTTTTTCCTGATTAATAATGCCAGGCAGGATTCTTTGGTTGAGCACAGCCATGCTAGATGTTTAGGGCGTTTTCACACACAAGAATTCCATCTATCCATGGATTGATTGCTCAGATTTTTATGTCACTTTTCTGCTTGCGGGATTGCAAAATGGTATGTTCGCTGCTTTTTATTAGTTTCCTTGGATACCAACAGTCAAGCGGCAAAGAACAGTGCTTTTTGTCCACAACAATCCTTTCCTAACCATCCTGAAACTAGAATATGGAAGTAACATAGTACCAGGAGTGGATAGCTTGTACACGTGCAGCGGACTGCACTAGAGTTCACTGGAACCAACCCCAGACCACTGATTTCAGAAGCACCAGAGATCGGTTCTCCGGAGCGCTCCTGGGCTTGAAAACAGCTTTCACACTTTACCAAACATACCAAACACAGAGCAAGTGGTCACTGGCAGACTCAGCTTATGGGGTGACTGCCCCCCTGGCTGAAAAAGCGTTGCTAAAGTGCCTACTAGAGTGACAAAAAAGAGAGGAAGTGCCCTAAAATCATTTAATGCCCTCTAGGGTGCCCCTTCATGCAATAATTTATGATAAGGTACTTTTCCAGTAGAGAAAATGTGATGTGGTGCCATATAGATGCCCTCCCAATGAAATAAACTTGAAAAAACTCTTAGATGCCCTTCAAAGCTAAAAAACAGGATGTGGTGCCCTAAATGGATAGAACATTCATTTAGCAGAGCTTAGTCACATCACTGAAGAGTTCAGAGGTGGGTGTAATGATGTTAGTCAACAGGTATTATGGGGTGATTGGCTGATGCAGGAGGAACTTTGGCAGACCTTGCAGAGTCTAGATGCAGAGTCCAGATGAGTCTCTAAAGCTGCTGGTCCACTAGGGGTCTTCAGCAGGCACATTAGTTCTACAGGCATGATTAGTCTGAACTGATAAGCAGTAGAGGGTTTGGCTTGACTGAAGTGGTGAAGAAGACTGAAGGTGCTTTGAAGTCTAATGCTACTGCTATGAAAGCGCTACAGATATGGAAGATTGGTGTCTTGGGGAAAGGAAGCATGCAGACAAGGATGCCAAATTAATTTGTTGTTAATTTTTTTTACTTGTGCCATGTGCTTTTGCTGTTGGTCTCCTCCTTGGTCCTGCCCCCTTGTTATCTGCTCCACCTGCCTGTAGCTCCGCCCTCTCATTAGACCCAGGTGTTTCTTGTTTCCCCTCAGTGTATTTATACCCCTGTGTTTGTGTTTTTGTCTTGCATTGAGGATGTTACCTGTTACTGCTTGTTTTCTTTGATCTGGTTAGGTCTTGTTTCATTATGGCCATGTCTATTCTACAAACCTCTGCTACTCACTTTCTGGACTCGTACTTGCACCCTGCCATTTCTGATACCATCATTCACACTGAAGCTCTGTTACACCTTCATTCCTTAGTTCATTAAGAATCCCCATCAAGAACTGGACCTTCATTGCAAGCCTTCAAAAACATCTGATCCCACCATTCTTGATTGCTGGCCCATCCAATAATTCAGTTTTAGAGACAAATACCCTTGTATAAAAGAATACTTGTGGTATAGATTCCCTATCATTTAAGGGAAAGGGACTGTATAAATCAGCTATGAGTAAAACCTTCTTCCTCTAATTTCACGTGATGAACAAAGATCTGAAATTTGAATGGCTCTGTAGGTGGAAATATATTGTCCAGAACAATCTTAAGTCTAGCTGATATGGATATTCTCTAGTGAAGTCTTGAAGTAATGCTACAGGTCCATAGTATGTCAGATTTTGACTGCAATGGAAAGGCAAGTACAGGGTATTCCTTGGTTTAGGATGCTGACAGGCAAAGGCCTGCTTGTGAGATTCAGGGCCATGGAAATGAACAGGTATACTGTTCGCAGATTAGTTTGGTAAGTGGTAACTGGTAGAAAAGACAGGGGATGCAATGCCAACATAGGGTCTGTTCCTAGTGTTGAAACTTTGCCTTTTTGGTGATTTGCATCAAGATGTCACTAGTGTTTGATCTAATGACTGAGAATTGGGATGTTTTGCATGTGGCTCTTTAATTATTTGTTGTCTTCTCTAAGTGTGCTGAGACAACTACTGCAGGACTGCTGTAGACAGCTACTATATAAAGAGTCTCTACCTGTTCAGTGCCAGAGTGGAGCAATCTGGCAGGAATGAGTCGAACTGAGGAATAGTGCTCTCTATTTTCGGAATGGCTGTGGATGGTCAATAGTCCATGTGGTCTGAGAAGACTTACTTTATTATCTTAAAGATGATGTGGTGGCCAGATAATCCAGCGTGGATGTTCCACATATTTTTTTTTTCTAAAGAAGTTATTTTTATCAACAGCAGTCACTACAGAAAGTCTTGCAAGAACTAATCTGATCTGAAGTACTCAATGAGAAGGTATTGTCCACCACACACATTCAAGACACTCTCAGATTGTTATATCTCTTTGTTCTGTTTGTGGTTTCTACAAAAAAGAAAAATACAGATGTCCACATAACATGTCTGCATAGTTTAATACACATTTAGAATCGAACATTATTGTAGTCCATGGTTATTACTGAAATATGAATATACAGTAAATTATAGACCAAGATAACTGTATCAACATGAACAGCAAACTCGAATGAGAAAAACAAAAATTTTGCTTGCTGTCCAAACAACCCTATATTATCACTATTACATGACTACACCAGAACCCCTGCATACAAGAACAATCCGCAGGCGGACTAGCCAGAACTGTAGTCCAAATGCAGAACTTCAGATTCGTCCTTTGTTTCTACTGTTGTTTTTAGTAACTGTTAATGCTAGATTTGCGTGAGAAATAATGTGACCACACAAGCTAAAGAGAACTCCACCTACTTTTCACAGTTCTATTTGTAGGATGGGAAACAGATACAGGTGCTCCACCAGGATACAGATAGTTCTGGGTTTGAATTAGTAACCATGCTGTGCTGTACCCTACTGACCGGTGGAAAAAGACCATAAGTACTGCAGCTAGTCAGAGAAAAAAGTGGAAAGTACTGGAAAAATCTGCTTCCAAACCAGCTGCTACAGTAATTAGTCCCCTCTTAGAGCTGTAATTGGCCAGATAGTTAAGGGATCACGCTGCCAAGAAATTAGCTGGAAAATGTAGTGTGATGTGGAATTGATCCAAATCCCAGTTCCTATTTTTACCCACAAGAGGGCACTACCTTATCAAAACAGACCAAAAGGGCTGCCCTTCAGTCTGAATATGTTTTAATATCTAATGACTGATCATTCAGTTTTTGATTAAAGTTACCCGGTGAAGCTGGTCATGTCTAAAGTGATTATTTGTGTAACTGAGTTCAGTTATGTGTGCAAATCTTCTTTTGTAAAGTTTATGCTTTAAAAAATGCCTTTTGAAATAACTGTCTTATTATTGCTTTTCTATACATTATGATTAGTTAAAGCGCAGCTACTGCTGAGTCCAAATGCTGTATTATCTTCTGTCTTTTTATTCAATTCACTATCTTTAATTCACACTTTAATACATATTTTATAGATTAAAAAGATTTCTTGCATGCAGACTTTGAAGTTTTAGTCTACACCATACAGCACATACAGAGGAAACTGTACTCAGCCAGTTTTCCAGCATTGTAAATTATCAGTTGATAACAGAAGAAACTTAGAATGTCTTTGCATGTTCTAGGTGTTTATTTGATACTTTGCTCATGTTGATATGTACAGGTCTTGATTGTTACAGTTTGAAAATGATTACTAGCATTACAGCACTACAATCATGTATTTCCCCTTTGCTATTTGCAGCATGTCTTCTTCTTAAAGCTTGCACAATATATTGCTTTTGCACATGTGAAGATATTTACCAAAATAATAACTGATATTATGTTCTGCCTTATATGATTTGAAAATATAGCACAACTACTTTTAATAGTTCATGAGAAAGAAAAACTGTTTGCTAAAGAAGTGGTGCAATATTGTTCATGAGATGCAGTTAATTCAGCTTGCAGTCCATCACTTAGTGTTCTTCATTTAAACTCCACAACCTGCGATGTACCGGCTCACATCTTTGTTTTCACATTTATTGCGCCACCCCACCCTAAGAAAAAGATTAAATACAGTTCAACCACCTATTTGTATTAATTTGTATTAACTTAACTTATTAAGTTCCTATTCTATATCCTATACTTTTCTTGTATTTTATTTCAATTGCCATCTGTGCTGAACACCGGACCTACAGGACTTCTTGGTTTTTGTGACATCACAGAAACAATTAATTCAAAACAGGCTGTTTTTGCAGTTTAACTTCCATATATGGACTATATGGACTGAAGAGTGAAAGGTATGTTTTGAAACTTTAACAGTGGTTGCCCAGCACATTAAACTCTTTTATTTAAAAACTAAAGACTGGATCATTTGTATTTCATAATATAGGCCCTTTAAAACCTGATTATCTAGTCTTACCATGCTGAGATGCCCTGCTGACTCACTATGGTCTTGGCACACTGGATGGCAGCGGAGATGTCATCTGTCAGTAGCTCTGTTGGAGGAAACAAGGTTAGTTACATGAATCTGGTCCATTTTACACAAAATATGCAATTTTCAATGTAATTTTTATTATGGAGACCTGTCAGGTAATGACAGGTCCATTGCATGTCATTACACATGTATCATTATATAATGCTTCATAATGCTTCGCTGTCCAGTGTTTAAGACAAGTTCTTACGGCTGCAGGAGATTCGACAGCCGTTGTGGCTGGGGAACTGGCCATTAGAACACCACCAGCGGTTGTTGATCTGGAAAATGCCGTAGTCCGTTGAGCCATCAGAGTTTTTGTTGGTGATCTGAGTGTTGTAGCCGGACTCTGCATTGGCCAAACAAACCCCTACAGATCAGGTAGTATAATATGCATTCTTTTAAATACAATAAACAGTAGACGTAGTACAGAAACAACAATGCAAATATGAAGATGAAGGCAAGTTTAGTCTAAACATCTAAGGGTGCAACTCACAAATCTTGTGATTTGAGGTGTTTCATAATCTAACATGTCATATAGATGATTATTGATCTTCTTTTGTAAGAAACTATCACTCCAACAGAATGCTCTTTTTTCACTTCAACGTCTTTGTAGAACTTACAGAAGTAATTGTGATTTATATGCTATAATGCTGTACTAACAAAGTTGAAATTAGCTTTGTCTGAAAGTACGTTCATGGCATTTAGCAGGCGCTCATATCCAGAGTGACTTCGCACTTTGTTGTCCGCTTAGAATTCTGTCCCTAACTAACATAATTTTATACTCTATACACTTTCTTCCATTCTTATTTCCTTTTATATTTGCATTTTGTAAGTATTTTAGTGATAAAAGATATAATAAAAGCATAGTATTAAATACAATTTTTGAAAACTTTTTTGAAAAATGTTTAGGTTTTAGGTCTATTCCTCTAATTGTGAACAAACTGGAGAAATCTTGATCATCAAATAAACTACTAAACATTTAAAAGGCTATTGGAGCACTCACAGTCAGCCAGACTGACGCCTTTGAAGCCGGACATTCCAGCTGCTTTCAGCGTTCTCGCCAGCTCACAATTGCTGAACTGCTTGGCACTGGCCACCGCCACCAGCAGGAGGACCACCCAAATCTTCATTGTGCTGCAGGATGAAAAAGAACGTCTGGAAGTGTTGCTGAGTGTTGTGTGTGTTCTGCCTTGCCCTTCTCAGTGATATATATAGCAGTATTGGAGGAAATGCTGCGATTACTGGAATTTTTTGCGAACATTGTGACCTTCCTGAAAGCTAATTCCTAATTTGATTGTAGTATTGTATCATAGTCAGTTGCTTTTATGTCTGGTCTTGTTGGGCAAACAAATAATAGCTTGAAAACCACAGCACTTCTGATTAGTATTTTGAGATAAAGAACATCTGATACACTCCATAGTCACAAACTGCAGGTGTATGTGTGGTTGTGGAGCAAAAGCAGTGATGATCAGATAACATGAGAGGAAGTCTCTGCTCCTTTTTCACTTTTCACATGATTCTGACACCACATTGTTAAACATATATTATTTCAACACTGAAGAAACTTGTTTTGGATGTGTTGCATGTTTTGTATGTTGCACTGTTAGGCTCAGTTGTTGTAACTGGTTGTTGCCATCAGTCATCAGGCAGCATATTCATAATCATTTCATAAAATAGATGAAATTACAGAGCTTTTAGAAGTAATAAATGCTTTGAACATCTGGTTCTCATCAACAATGTTTTAAACAATTCTGACTCTGTAAGTTTCTCTAGAACTGCATATTTCATATCAAACCTCTCTGTAGGACTTTGTTTACATCTTAATCAATTTAGCTGTGCAGAATCTGGGAAAATTCCCCAGTAGAATTCCCTTTTAAACACTTTAGTCACTGCACTTGTGTATAACAAAATGTACGTAATATAATGTTGTGGCATCAGAGCACGCTATTGTTCCCATGATGCTTTGTGCATGCTCAGTCAGATTGTATTTAGTAAAAGCAAAAGGTAAGAAAAGGTTTTCGGTTACATGTTCAGTATTCATGCTAATGTTTACAGGTTATGTGAACTGCTGAGCAGGTTGGGTAAGTACTGGGTTTTGGGAGTGTGAGTTACCATCACCCAGATTTTTTCCTGATTGTAACCCCAGGTACAATTCTTTGGTTGAGCACAGCCATGCTAGATGTTTAGGGCGTTTTCTAAAACAAGATTTCCATCTGAACCGTGGATTGATTGCACAGGCAAGGCAGAACAAATGATACCAATTTTGCTATCATTACATTGGCTTCCATTCTCTTTTAGGCTAGGCTATCTTATAGTATTGCTATTGTTTTCTAAGACTCAGTACTGCAGGCTTTTATTATTACTCAGATAAGCAAACTAGAGAGGCATGAAAAAAGGTGACACATTCAGAAACCAACAACTCCCCTGCCCTACCACTCATACTGAGGCACAGAAAATTTGAACGATTTAACATGAAAACTCTGCTGCATTGACTAATTAAAAATCTATTGCTTAACATGCATAGGTCAGTTCCATCTGTGGAAAATTTGGCAGACATCTTTTAGGACCCTTCATAAACAGTCATTATAAAGGAGGTCATTCTAAAAACTGACTGCCCATAATTCACATGCTCTCTGCTTAAAAGCCTATACAGACTTATAAGTCTCCATATGGTATGCAGTGCTTGGACCCCTATCACTACAACTTGCTCAAAGATAGTCCACAGAAATCTATTTTAGATTAAGCTATGAAAAAGATTAAAGACAGAAATGCTTATATGGGAATGCTTATATGAGAATATGGACCCACTTTCAACTGCACGGTTAGTTAACATTAACCATAGCTTTTTTCATCATTATGTATATTTGACAAGTTATGACTGTTACATCTGTAGCAGCTGAACTGTAAAATCAATGTATCAACAAACAAAAATAAAAGAGCTTAAGGTAAATAAAGCCCTGCTTTACATCTTCCTGAACATGTTGCAGATGTGCTACGTCGATTGACCAAATACATAAATAATGACTCTGACCATGACCAAAACCCCCCAATCCCACCCTCAAATGTAGTACTCCTCTCTCTCTGTAGAAGCTCCTGCTAGTGACAAACTGTCAGACTTAAAGAAAAACAACACAATTGCAAGGTGGGAGTCACCTCTTGCATGTTGGCTGTCCTACTGCCTACAAATGTTTTGCATCAACATGATTCTTAAAACAACAAGTGCAGTGGTGGAGTCAGTCCAGTAAGTCACACCCCTGGTTGTGAAGGTGAGCTCTCTTTGCAAGGTCAAACCAAGTAGCGCTCCAATGAAGTGCAACGTTCTAGCATTTGCATTGATTGCTGATTCTTGGGTGGGACAGTGGGGCAAGTAAGATCACTATCACTCTTCCTTCTGTCTTCTGTTTGAATGTTGGCTACTGAGCCATTTGCTCTCTCTAGTGCATCTGAGAAGATATGAACACTTTGAGTGGTTCAGTAAGATCTGTCGGAAGTTGGGGTTCACACCAATCTCGCTTTTTATCTGAAAGGTATTGCACCAAACATTTGACCCCCATGATGTGAGGAATGAGGAACTTGAGAGGAGCATACTGACTTGCCAAAGTTCAGTACATACTGTGCATAAACTCAGGACTTTTAGGTGGCCCAAAAATGCCTGTTTTGTCACTCTGGTATGACAGAACATCCATTTAGCAGAGCGTAGTCACATCACTGAAAAGTTCAGAGTTGTAAGTAATAATGTTAGTCAACATGCATTGTGGGGTGATTGGCTGATGCAGGAGGACCTTTGGCAGACTTTGCAGAGTCTAGATGCAGAGTCTAGATGAGTCTTTAGAGATGCTGGTCCACCAGGGAGTCTTCACCAGACACGCCAGTTCTATAGGCATGATTAGTTGATAAGCAGCAGAGGTTTGACTTGACTGAAGAGGTGAATCGGCAAACCCCTGAGACGTCTGTATTGTCTCTGTAGTACCTCTGTTGGATGTGCATGCTTTGAAGCCTAGTGCTACTGTTATGAAAGCGGTACAGATATGGAAGATTGGTGTCTTGGGGAAAAGAAGGATGCAGATAAGGATGCCGAATTAATTTGTTGTTAATTTTAATTAATCATTCATCTTCTCAGAAAGTTCAAAGTGCTAAATCTTCAGGTGGGTCTTTCACACTGTCACAGTTTCCCCATTGTCCCTCTGATTGTCTGTTTCTTCCCCCGAGTTGTAGCCATGTGCCTTTTGTTTTCTTGTGCCATGTGCTTTTGTTGTTGGTTTTGTTCCGTCTCCTCTCTGGTCCTGCCCCCTTGTTATCTGCTCCACCTGCCTGTAGCTCTCATTAGTCCCAGGTGTTTCTTGTTTCCCCTCAGTGTATTTATAGCCCTGTGTTTGTTCAGTCTTTTTGTCCTGTATTGTGGATGTTACTTTGCTTGTTTTCTCTGTTTAGGTTTTGTTTCATTATGGACGTGTCTATTCTACAAATCTACACAGTTTCTGGACTCTGTTAAATCTGATTTTAATAAAAACAACTCGTACTTGCATCTTGCCTCCTCGCCTCCCATGTTACACAAACCCAACGTCTGTAGCATTATTATTTCTGAACCATCATCTAAAATTACATAAGTTTCAAGTCTTCTGGCCACTGGTCATGAGCACCTTCACTATCTTGAGCAGTATGCAGCTGCTCCCAGTTGGATGACTGAGGTAATGTCACAGGTTGGCCCTTTTTTTTGTAAGTGGCTGGTGTCCATGCTTGGCCTTTCTCTTTGCCATTTCTGATACCATCATTCACACTGGAGCTCTGTTACACCTTCATTCCTTAGTTCATTGAGAATCCCCATCAAGAACTGGACCTTCATTGCAAGCCTTCAAAAACATCTGATCCCACCATTCTTGATTGCTGGTCCATCCAATAATTCAGTTTTAGAGACAAATACCCTTGTATAGAAGGGTATTTTTATGATTTTGGTAGAGATTCCCTATCATCTAAGGGAAAGGGACTGTATAAATCAGCTATGAGTAAAACCTTCTTTATCTAATTTCATGTGATGAACAAGGAACTGAAAATTGATTGGCTCTGTAGGTGGAAATATATAAAATATGTCCAGAGTATTCTTAAGTCTAGCAAACTGATATTGATAATCTCTAGTGAAGTCTTGAAGTGTTGCTGTTGGCCCATAGTAGGTCAGATCATGACCGGTATGGAAAGCACCTGCAGAGTTCTCCTTGGTTTAGGATGCTGACAGGCAAAGGCCTGCTTGTGAGGTTCAGGGCCATGGAAATGAACAGGTATATTGTTCGTAGATTAGTTTGGTAAGTGGTAACTGGTAGAAAAGACAGGGGATGCAATGCCAACATAGGGTCTGTTCCTAGTGTTGAAACTTTTGCATCAAGATGTCACTAGTGTTTGATCTAATGACTGAGAATTGGGATGTTTTGCATGTGGCTTTTTAATTATTTGTTGTCTTCTCTAAGTGTGCTGAGACAACTACTGCAGGACTGCTGTAGACAGCTACTATATAAAAAGTCTCTACCTGTTCAGTGCCAGAGTGGAGCAATCTGGCAGGAATGAGTCGAACTGTGGAATAGTGCTCTCTATTTTCGGAATGGCTGTGGATGGTCAATAGTCCATGTGGTCTGAGAAGACTTTATTATCTTCAAGATGATGTGGTGGCCAGATAATCCACATATTTTTTTTTCTAAAGAAGTTATTTTTATCAACAGCAGTCACTACAGAAAGTCTTGCAAGAACTAATCTGATCTGAAGTACACAATGAGAAGGTATTGTCCACCACACACATTCAAGACACTCTCAGATTGTTATATCTCTTTGTTCTGTTTGTGGTTTCTACAAAAAAGAAAAATACAAATGTCCACATATCATGTCTGCATAATTTAATACACATTTAGAATCGAACATTATTGTAGTCCATGGTTATTACTGAAATATGAATATACAGTAAATTATAGACCAAGATAACTGTATCAACATGAACAGCAAACTCGAATGAGAAAAACAAAAATTTTGCTTGCTGTCCAAACAACCCTATATTATCACTATTACATGACTACCCCAGAACCCCTGCATACAAGAACAATCCACAGGCGGAGTAGCCAGAACTGTAGTCCAAATGCAGAACTTCAGATTCGTCCTTTGTTTCTACTGTTGTTTTTAGTAACTGTTAATGCTAGATTTGCGTGAGAAATAATGTGACCACACAAGCTAAAGAGAACTCCACCTACTTTTCACAGTTCTATTTGTAGGATGGGAAACAGATACAGGTGCTCCACCAGGATACAGATAGTTCTGGGTTTGAATGAGTAACCATACTATACTGTACTGCCCGGTGGAAAAAGACCTTAAGAAAGTACTGCAACTAGTCAGAGAAAAAAGTGGAAAGTACTGTAAAAATCTGCTTCCAAACCAGCCGCTACAGTAATTAGTCCCCTCTTACCAACTAAAGTACTAAAGGGCTGACCTTTTGAACAGTGATCATGTGCAGCTGCTATGGAGCATCATGTTTTATTGCTAAAGTTATTCTATGGACATTATACAAGCTTTGCATACACAGTTGAACACCTGGCTCAACAATACATGCACTTTAAAGTAGCTGAATTCACTAATCAGAAGGGCTGTACATGTTTCATTATCTAATGTATGAAGTTACCAGGTGAAGCTGGTCATGTCTAAAGTGATTGTGTATGCAGTTATGTATGCAGGTCTTCCTTCATAAAGTTTATGCTTTAAAAATGTGTTCTGTATTGCTTTTCCATACATTATAATCAGTTAAAGGACAGAAGTGAATAACATGCCACTTAATGCAGGCTACTGTGTTTAGCTCAACTACTGCTGAGACTGCTGGATTATTTTTATTACCTTTTTATTCAATTCACTACCTTTAATTCACATTTTGCTGCATATTTTACAGATTTAAAAAAAATCTTGTATACAGCCTTTTAAGTTTTAATCTACATCATACAGAAGATACAGAGGAAACTGTAGTCAGCCAGTTCTGCATTATTGTAAATTATTGGTTGATAACAGAAGAAACTTAGAATGTCTTTGCATGTTCTAGGTATTTATTTGATGCTTTTCTCATGTTGATATATACAGGTCTTGATTATTACAGTTTGATAATGATTATAATGCTGTAATGCTATTATAATGCATTTCCCCTTTGCTATTTGCAGCGTCTTCTTCTAAAAGCTTGCATAATATATTGCATAACTTGCGCATGTGAAGATATTTACCAAAATAATAACTGATATCTGCCTCATAAGCTTTAAGTTAAGCAAATACAGCACAATTGCTTTTAATAGTTCATGAGAAAGAAAAACATTAAACTATGTGCTAAAGAAGTGGCACAATATTGTTCATGAGATGCAGTTAATTCAGCTTGCAGCCCATCAATCAGTGTTCTTCATTTGAACTCCACAACCTGCGATGTAGTGGCTCACATCTTTGTTCTCACATGTATTACGCCACCCCACCCTAAGAAAAAGATTAAAAAACAGTTCAGTCATTTATTTGACCAAGTTCCTAGCTTATATCCTAAAGTTATCTTGTATTTTATTTTTTCTCCTGAGCTCCACTTATGTTTTTCTTGTTTTATATACCAAAAAAGAGGGCCTTCAATAAGCCTATCTATCTATCTATCTATCTATCTATTTATCTTTTAAAAATAAGGCCCTTTAAGGCCTGATTATTTAGTCTTACCATGCTGAGATGCCCTGCTGACTCACAATGATCTTGGCACATTGGATGGCAGTGGAGATGTCATCAGTCAGTAGCTCTGTTGGAAGAAAGAAGAGTCAAGATAGTAACATGAGTCTGGTCCATTTTACACAAAGTATGCAATTTTCATATCTCATATAATAATTATATCTAATATATGCATGGTGGTTTATATTACGGAAGCCTATCAGGTAATGCATCATTGTCTGTTGCATGTCATTACACATGTATCATTATATAATGCTTCACTGTTAAGTGTTTTAAAACATGTTCTTACGGCTGCAGGAGATTCGACAGCTGTTGTAGCTGGGGTACTGGCCATCAGAACACCACCAGCGATTGTTGATCTGGAAAATGCCGTAGTCCGTTGAGCCATCAGTGTTTTTGTTGGTGGCCTGAGTGTTATAGCGGGACTCTGCGTAGGCCGTGCAAACCCCTACAGATAAAGGAGTATAATGAGTATTCTTTTAAATATAATAAACAGTTGACTTAATTTAGAAACAACAAAGCAAATGTTTAGGCACGTTGAGTCTAAATATCGAAGGGAGCAACTCACAAATCTTGTGATTTGAGGTGTTTCATAATCTAACATGCAGCACAGTTGATAAGCTTTCTCTGCAAATACATTCATGGCATTTAGCAGGCACTCATATCCAGAGTGACTTTGCACTTTGTTTTCCACTCAGAAAATATATCCCTAAAATAATATTATACTCAATTGTACTCTGCATCAACTATTCCGTCATATATATAAAACCCCTCCCTTCTGTGATCCCCTGAAATAATAGATGCATTTAATGTACTCAATTCAGATGTGTACACAATTTCCATCTTAATATACTGCATCAGTACAACTGTGTCTTTGTTTACTTACTACTGGCAAGAACTATGTTGATATAACATTTTGTTCATGTGAAAATAATGCATGTACACATGAAGGAAGTCAGTTTAATGTATCAGAGTGTAGACTTTCCTGTACAATGGAAAAAAACGTATAATAATCGAATTCAGATGTTTTGGTATTATGTCTGTTCCTCTATTTGTGAACAAACAGGAGAAACCTCGATCATCAAATAAACTACTAAACATTTAAAAGGCTATTGGAGCACTCACAGTCAGCCAGACTGACGTTTTTGAAGCCGGACATTCCAGCTGCTTTCAGCGTTCTCGCCAGCTCACATCTGTCGAACACCTTGGCACTGGTCACCGCCACCAGCAGGAGGAACACCCAAATCTTCATTGTGCTACAGGACGAGAAAGAACGTCTGGAAGTGTTGCTGAGTGTTGTGTGTGTTCTGCCTTGCCCTTCTCAGTGATATATATACATACCGTTTGAGGAACTGCTGCAATTACTGGAATTTTTTGTGAACGTTATGTAACCTTCCTGAAAGATAATTCCTGATTTGATTAGTCACTTTATCATAGTCAGTTGCTTTTTTGTCTGGTCTTGTTGAGCAAATACATAATTCAATCTGAATCAAATTCTGAAAGAACATATGGCAAACCGTTTTTTGTCTATAGCTTGAAAAACTGCAGGCGTGTGTGTGGTGGTAGAGCAAAGGCAATGATGATCAGGTGGCCAGAGAGGAAGTCTCTGCTCCTTTTCTTTCACTTTTCAAATGATTCTGGCACCATATCCTCTACAACATTTTGTATGTTTCTTCAAGTTGCACAGTTAGGCTACATATCAGTTTGCATGATACTAAATCAATGCTTTTGTTTTCTCAAGACTCAATTATTGTAACTTGCTGCTGCCAAAAGAAAAGTGACTAGTAATCTACAGCTTGTCCAGAATGCTACAGCCAGGAAATTTTTTCCATAATTGCTGAGATGTAAGCAAAGTTCTTCAGATTGTTTTAAGGTGAAACAGTTAATTGTAGAGAAATGTGTTAACTCTGATTTCTGTAAAGTGAAGGTAATACAAACCAAGAGGTGCAATGTCTACAACTCATGTTTCATTTATTATCCAAAGTGACCAGTGAACCTACATGTGTCTTGGTTTTTTATGTAGTACTTATAACAGCAAAATAGTATTTTCTATTCATTACATTTTTGATAAGTTGGAGTAGCATTCCTGATCCAGAACTAATGATCCAACATCAGTACCTGACCTCACTAATGCTCTTGTAGCTGAATGCAATCAGATCTTCACAGCAATGTTCCAACATCTAGTGTAAGCCTTCACAGAAGAGTTACTGCAGCAAAGACCAGTAAAAAGGTTAGCGTGTTGCAATTTTGATAATCAATAGGAACAAAGCAGAAAATAATGTAATAAAAAGCAAGAAATAATGTAATAAAAGAAAGCAACCATTTAAAAAAAGGAAATGTAGTGTTGGAGTAAAACTAGTTATAAATGTTCCATTTGTCAATGTGGCTCTAATAATTTAATTTATTCGTGTGGCATCTGCCACAGGCCACACTGCCACGGGGGGTTAAGGTGGAGTGGTCATGTAAAGAGGCCTTCGTGGCACCGTACTCTCAGCTAAAAAGGACACTTGTTACTGTTAATGTTGTCATTGGGCAAGTTGTGTTATTAGAGTCTGAGGAGGGTGGGCTGTGTAGTTAACTACTGGTTAGAAGTGTCTCCTTGTATGCCGTGTTCTGTTGCATTACCCCCTACCTGGTAGCACTGGACTGGGCATTTCTAGTCTTTTTAAAGACTTGTTGTTAAAGTGCCTGTTTCAACAAAGAGCTCTTACACGCGATGTTTTCTGCGTCTTTTTCTGCACCGATGCTACAATAGATTTAATGGGACAGGACAGGTGAAAGCAGTCAGACAGAAACTGAAATAACAGAGGAGGCAGGAGAAGAGCACACTAGTAATGTTTACGATCAAGTTAGTGAGAAAATTAATAAAATCAATCATGTAAACGTTTTACTGAAATGGAAATTTCTGCATAATTCAATCAATTTGATGTAAACAAAGTCATGCGAAATATTTTGATGTGAAATGGTGCATTATAGAGAACTGACTTCTGAGTTTGTATATGTAATGTTAATGATGGGGAAATAGTGGTAAATTGGTATATTGGTATATTGGCAATCATTTCATATAACAGCTTTCTATGAGAGAGCTTTTAGAAGCAATAAATGCTTTGAATGTCTGGTTCTCATCAAAAATGCTTTAAACAATTCTGACTCTAAGTTTCTCTAGAGTGGCGTATTTCACATCAAACGTCTCTGAATGACTTTGTTTACATCTCACATTCCCCAGTAGAATTTCCTATTAAACACTTTAGTCACTGCACTTGTGTATAACAAAACATACATAATATAATATTGTGGCATTAGAGCACGCTATTGTTCCCATGATGCTTTATGCATGCTTAGTCAGATCGTATTTAGTTTAAAAAAAAAAGGTAAGTAAAGGTTTTAGGTTGCATGTTCAGTATGTTTACCGTTTATGTGAACTGCTGAGCAGGTTGGGTAGGTACTGGGTTTTGGGAACATGAGCTACCATCACCCAAATTTATGTTAAGTTTAGAACAATGTTCTTTTGTTCTTTTGTCCACAATAATCCTTTCCCCACCATTATGAAACTAGAAAAGGGAAGTGGGTCGAAGCAGTCACGTTACAAAATGAATTAATCCCGCAACTCCACATGCAGTCCCGAGAGTGGGTGGCTTCTACATGTGCAGCGGACCACACCAGAGTTCACTGAAACCAAACCCCAGACCACTGAATTGAGATTGATTCTCTGGAGTGCTCCCAGGCTCGAAAACAGCTTTCACACTTGACCAAATGCACCAAACACACCGAGCAAGCAGTCACTGGTGATCTCAGGGGGTAGGCTCTGGTGCCCCCATGGTTAAAAAAAGCTTTGTTAAAGTGTCCTCTAGAGTGGCAAAAACGAGAGGAAGTGCCCTATTGGTTGCCCTTCACATGGGAAAAAAAATGACTGAATGCCCTCTAGGGCGCCCCTTCATGCAATATTATATGATTACGTGCTTCTCCAGTAGAGAAAAAGGGGTGCAGTGCTGTACAGGGTACTCATAGAGGTGAGAAAACATAATGAAGGACCCAATCAGGTGCTCTTTAAATGAAGAAGTGCTCCTCTAGTGGAGAAAATGTGATGAGGTGCCATATAGGTGCCCTCACAATGAGATAAACTTGACGTTCCCTACAGGTGCCCTCTTGATGAAAAAAACACATGAAGTGCCTCTTAGATGCCCTTCCAAGTGAGAAAACACAATTAAGTGTCCTTGCGATAGAGAGGAAAAATCTGAGTAAAGAAAATGCAGTGCCCTACAGACTCCCCTACATTTTGTGTCCTCTATGGCAGAATTTCCCAGAGTGGCTTCTGTGACGACAGTCTAGGGGTGCAACACTGGAGAAACTTGTTTTTTATGTATGTTGTGCATTTGTTTGAGTATTTCAGTTTGTATAATTTTTGTTTTGCCATGTTTTGGATTAAAACTTGACAGATAAGCTTGTCCAGAATGCTGCAGGAAGAGGATCAATAGAGGCATGCAAGAAAGAACAAATGATACCAATTTTGCGATCTTTACATTAGCTTCCATTCTCTTTTAGGCTAGATCTTAAAGTATTGCTATTGTTTTATAAAGCATTTAATGGAATTGTACTACCATCTCCATCATCTCCTTATGACTCTATATTAGTCATTTTCTAAGACTTAGTATTGCAGGCTTTTATTATTACTCAGATAAGCAAACTAGAGAGGCATGAAAAAAGGTTTTCAGAATTCAGAACGTTCAGAAACCAACCAACTCCCCTGCCCTACCACTCACACTGAGGCAAAGATAGAAATCAAAGTGTCTTATAAAAAATCAACTTCTTTTTTTTCTATTTATGAAGCTGTATATATATATGTATATAAGTTTTTGTTCAACAGCTATTAAAGAAAGAAATGCTTGTATGTGAACATGGACCCACTTTCAGCTGCACAATTATCTAACATTAACCATAGCTTTTTTCATCATTATGTATATTTGACAAGTTATAACTGTTATAAGTATGGCAGTAGTTAGACAGCTGAACTGTAAAACCGTATGTATCAACAAACAAAAATAAAACAGCTCACTTCTAAATTAGTATGCTGCAATAGCATCTGGTGAGAGCCAGGGTAAACAAAACCTTGCTTTAAATTGTCCTGATGACAACCCTCTAGTCCCACCCTCAAGTGTAGTACTCCTCTATCTCTATAGAAGCCACTGTTAGTGAGAAATTGTTGGACTTATGGCAACACAACACAATTTCAAGGTGGGAGTCACCTCTTGCATGTTGACTGTCGTACTGCCTACAATTCTTTGCATCAACATGATTCTTAAAACAACAAGTGCAGTGGTGGAGTCCAGCAAGTCACACTGCTGGTTGTGAAGGTGAGCTCTTTTTGCAAGGTCACACCAAGTTGTGCTCCAGTGAAGGTCACGCACAGTTCTAGCATTTAAATCGATTGCTGACTCTTAGGTGGGACTCTGGACAGAGCTGCAAGGAGTAAGAGTAGACTTAACATGTCAACAGCGAGATCTTAGGGAGCTACAGGAGTTTGTTCTCCCAAGTGCAGTAGGTTCAATGACATCTTTCAGAAACTGTGGGTCATCCCAATTTAACTTTTTTTTTTTCTGAAAGGCATTGCACCAAACATTTGACCCCCGTGGTGTAAGGAATGAGGAACCTGAGAGGACCATACTGACTTGCCAAAGTTCAGTATATACAGCGCATAAACTCGGGACTCTTAAGTTGGCAATGATTGTAGATGACTGTATCAGGCATAAACTGCCACAAGGGTCTGAGAGCTCTTTTTTGAATATCAGCACCATTTGACAACCATAATTACTGCATCTCAGGACAAAATGGCTCAACACAAGCTGCAAGTTGTTCCAAAGGGAAGTATCTGTCACTCATAAATCAGGTGATCTGGCACAATTCATCTCATTTCACAAGAATCGTAGGAAAGGCTTGTCTTCAGGAAGCAGACAGACTTGATATGGTTTGCTCTTTACTACTGTTGAAGGCCACAGGCGGTTCCCAAGAAAGGTCCAAATAAAAGTTGGTCATTCAACAAAACTCTTCCCTACATATTTAAATGAACAGTTAAAGACAATGTGATCCTTTTCATTGTCGCAATCCATGTAATTTGGGATGTACCACAAGTTACAACTATCTTCAGCTGCTTCAGGAGAGAGTTTGCAGATGTAGCCAGCATCCAATCACCTCTGAACTTCAGTGTTCTAAGTTGCTGTTCTGGTGGGGTCCTTAAAGAGACATTTCTGAGTCCCTTTTAGGTGACCCAAAACTGCCTGTTTTTCATTCTGGTATGTAGAACATCCTTTTGGCAAAGCTTAGTCACATCACTGTAGAGTTCAGAGGTGGGAGTGATGATGTTAGTCGACAGGCATTGTGGGGTGATTGGCTGATGGAGGAGAAACTTGGCAGACCTTGCAGAGTCTAGATGCAGAGTGTAGATGAGTCTTGAGAGCTGCAGATCAGCCTCACCAGTGCCCCTTCAGTGCAAACTTTAAAAAGCACCTCTTGACTGGAGGCTCAACTGGTACTTCAGTCTTACAGGCAGTTTGTGAGGTTCTGGTAGAGATGCCCTAACACCTAAGAGAAAGGGACTGTATGAATCGGCTATTGGTAAAACCTCCTCCAACAAGTGATCAACAAAGATCTAAAATTTTAATCACTCTGTAGCATCAAGTGGAAACATGATGTCCAGAACTGAACAGAATTGACTTGGATAATCTCTAGTAAATTCTTGAATTCATGTTTTTCGTCCACATTAGGTTAGATCTTGACATTTATTGTCCACCACACACCCAAAACGCTCTCAAATTGTTATATCTCTGTCATGTTCTGTCTGTGAATTGGTTTCTACAGCAGGGAGATATGTATCACAATTACATAGCTTAATATACATTTGGAATTGTACAGTACTGTAGGAGAATTACTGAAATATGAATATGCAGTAAATTATAAGCCAAGATAAGTAAATCAACATGATTGGCAAACTTGCAAGCGAAAAAAAAATGAATTAGCTTGCTGCCTAAACAGCCTGTACTATACTGTACTATACTTTACTACTATACTATAAATATTACATGACAACAACAGTACCCTTGTACACAAGAACAACTCACAGTGTTATGAACGCACAGGAATTTTCCCCTTGTTTCCCCTTCGTGCTGGGGTACCAAGCATGCCAAGCTGGAATGTACTATGTATCAGGGGGGTGGCACAAGTCAAAACCACAGTCCAAATGCTGAGCAAAAGGCCGAGTTCCATCACTTTCATCACTGCTGTTTCTATTAAGGGGGGTTTTGTTGCTAGCCTGTAGCTACAGTAGTTCAATCATGCTAACGCCAGCAGCAGCTTTTGTTTACGGTTTATTTTTACAATTTTCTTAACTATTTTTGCAGATGACAAAGTGTGCGGACGACTTTGAGGAGATCTGTTTCCAAAATGTCACTATATTAATTTAAATCAGAATTCACAAATGACTTGCAGCAGCTTGAGGGAGCGAGAGAGAGAGAGAAAGATGAACTCGAGCCCACCCGAGCCCGAACCCACCCGCGCCAAAGCTGCCAAGGTCCAACAGAAATTAACGGTTCAACAAACTACTTGCTATTTATTTCACTCACAAACGTTTTTTTTTTTTTTTACCTCGACTCCAGTTTCTGTGCTGGAAAATACAACAGAGGGAGCAGCAGTTTTCTTTAGCAGCTGGCATTTGAAGAAATCCGCTTAGCATGTTTTCACTGACTACTCAGCTCTAAACAAACAGCAGCCAGAAATCCAGCACTAAAGCCAAATCCACAGTAAAACCTGCTATTATCTCTCTGCTTTGGCCTTCATATGGCAAAAAAGGGTTAAAATAGCAACGCAATTCACCTTCACAGCTATCAGCAGGACTTACCCTGTGTGTCCAGAGTGATTTTATGAAGGTTCTGTGAAGATTTAGTCAGTAATTCATTCCAGAAAACCACCATTCAAATCCTGCATTTATGTCCATTTAACCTTTTCAGGCACACATGAAGAATTTATTTCAAAATACCAGATTTACTGAAATGAACAAGTTACAAACCATTAAACTAAAACTTTTTGTAATTTTGGGTGAAATTTCTTTTAGGTTCAGGTTCAAAGGTCATTTCTGAGATGGCTTCTCTGAGTACCCGGTGTGCACTAAGTGGCGCTAACTATATTATTTACATTTTTCATTTAATACTCAGCTTGCTGTATAATTCAATTGTCTTTTTTCATTTTTTGTGATAATAGTAAAATCAGTTTTTTTGTCTGGCTGATGCACAGAGGGACTTTGCACCCTGTGCACATCCATTTTGTGCAATGCAGACCCTTCTTAGTGCTGCACTCAGCACACTGTCTTGATTTGCTTTACACTGGGAGATGAGCAGCTTCAGATTTGTGTTTCCCACTTGAAATGTATGGTTATATTATGGAAACTCAACCTGGCTTGCTATTCTCTCAGCTGACTGTCTTCAGTCCTCATTAGAACTTGTCTTGGCCTTCACTAAACCTGTTACCACAGAGCAACGAAAGTCTTTCAAGGTCTCCTTGTCATTCGGAAACTGCTTGCTTTACAGAATGTGTGCAATTACAACTGGGTCACTCCCCTGGTCACTTTCACTTCCTCTGTCATTTCCCCAGATTACCTCATAATCCTCTTCACTGCTCTCACTTTCAGAATATGTAGATGTTCCCTCTTTAAACACCAATGCAAATTGAGAAATGAGGTGGTTTCTCACAGTGACCACCGTGCCTCAAAGTGCTAAATGCCTAATTTAAATTCCCTGCTGCACATGTACGATCTGGAACTTCTCCCCATGTCTCAAATAATCCTCTGAATGACCCAGACTCTGAGGTTAGTGCTGGTAATCAGAAATGTACAGCTAAATACAGATTATAACCACAAAAATACTTCAATCTTTCCCACAAAATGAATAAAACAGGCCCTCAAACACAACTAATATGATAATTAATAATAAATATGATAAATATTATCATAAAATTAATAATATATTGCTTGAGTTGAGTATCAAAAACAGCTGATAGTAAATATGCAACTCAATTTGAAATTAAAAATGAAGGCTGTCTTGCCGTGTGTCAGAGTTTCAGCACTCAGCGTGAATCCAAGAGGACGGAAAATGAAAAAAAAAACATGGCCGCCTTATGCTAATTATCTATTTTTACTCAGTGATAAGCAGTAGAATGAACCATCATCAAAATTCTGGCAATATTTTAAAGGTATCTTAAGGTGACACTTATTTTTAAAATCTGTATAAGCAAATATTAAAAAATTGCAGGCTCTAGTTAAATCTTTGAAAATAAAAGCCAAATTCATAAAGATATCAAAATTCTGTTAGCATTTGCATGTGATATGATGGCATATCTAAAGTAGCCCAGGGTCTCCTGAAAGTAACAGCACATATGTTGTCTCATGTAAATATTTTATGATTGTAACTGTAATTTTAATGTACCAAAATACCACAAAAATGACTCAAAATTACTCTACGGTTCTAAAAGTAAATTCAATTTACTAACTTTAATTTAAACTTAAAAAAAAGAAAATTGGTCTACACCATACAGAAGATACGGAGGAAACTGTAGTCAGCCAGTTCTCCATTATTGTAAATTATTGGTTTATAGCAGAAGAAACCTAGAAAGCCTTTGCATTTACAAGCTGTTTAATCAATGCCTTTTCTCATGTTGATAGTACAGGTCTTCATTATTACAGTTTGATAATGATTACTAGCATTACAGCACTACAATCATGCATTTCCCCTTTGCTATTTGCAGCATGTTTTCTTCTTAAAGCTTGCATAATGTATTGCATAACTGTTGCATGTGATGAGGTTTACCAAATTAAAAGCTGATCATATGGTTTAAGCTTAGCAAATATAGCACAATTGCTAGTTTATGTGAAAAGAAAATATGAAAATTCAGTTAATTCAGCTTGCAGTCCATCATTCAGGGTTCTTCATTTAAACTCCACAACCTGCGATGTACCGGCTCACATCTTGGTTCTTACATTTATTACGCCACCCCACCCTAAGAAAAAGATTAAAAACAGTTTAGTTATTTATTTGACCGAGTTCCTCCAGTTCATTCATTCATTTTCCAACCTTTCCTTATCCCTTTACAATAGGAGTCTTCAGCTCTGGTTCTGGTCTGGTGTCCAACACAGTGTGGTGATTTTCTTGCTCAAACACACCTGATTCAACTTCTCTATTAATTGGCTGATTTAGTACGTGTGTTTTGTGTTGGGCAACAAGCAAACAGTACTGGACACCAGCCCTACAGGACTGGATTTAAACACCCCTGCCTTTAGAATTAAACAGACTTATTTTGTTACTGTGCCTTTAAGACTGCTAAATAACCTGTTCTGATTGGCTAACATGTATTGTACCTTTTAAAACAAGCTGAAACATTTCTTATAACTTCTTGGTTTTTGTGACATCATAGAAACAATTACATCAAGACAGGTTTTTATTGCAGTTTATTTTTCATATATGGACTATATGGGCTGGAGAGTAAAATGTAGGTCATGAAACTTTGACAGTGGTTGCCTAACACATTAAACTCTTTAAAAACAAGGCCCTTTAAGGCCTAATTATTTAGTCTTACCATGCTGAGATGCCCTGCTGACTCACTATGGTCTTGGCACACTGGATGGCAACGGAGATGTTATCAGTCAGTAGCTCTGTTGGAGGAAACAAAGGTTAAGATAGTTATATGAGTCTGGTCCATTTTACACAAAATATGCAATTTTTAGAGCATCCAGCAAGAACTGCATGGCGGTTTATATTATGGAAATGGATCAGTTAATGTATTATTGTCCGTTGCATGTCATTACACATGTGTCATTATATAATGCTTCATGATGCTTCACTTTTCACAGTGTTTTAAGACTTGTTCTTACGGCTGCAGGAGATTCGACAGCCGTTGTGGCTGGGGAACTGGCCATTAGAACACCACCAGTGATTGTTGATCTGGAAAATGCCGTAGTCCGTTGAGCCGTCAGTGTTTTTGTTGGTGGCCTGAGTGTTGTAGCGGGACTCTGCGTTGGCCAGGCAAACCCCTACAGATAAAGGAGTATAATGTGCATTCTTTTAAATATAATAAACAGTTGACCTTATACAGAAACAACAATGCAAATATAAAGACAAGTATAGTCTAAACATCTAAGGGTGCAACTTGCAAATTTTGTGATTTGAGGTGTTTCATAATCTAACATGCAGTACGGTTGATTATTAACCCTGCTGAATAAAACAGCACAGACCAGCATGAATTCCATGCTGGCCTTAGCTGGGTTATGCTGTTTTATGCTGGTCTGGTGCTGGTTTAGCTAGTCACCCAGCACGGGCATGCTGGTTGACAAGCATACCAGCATCAAAAACACAACATATGCTGGTTTTTCTGGTGGCCAGCCATGCTGGTCTAAGGTGGTTTTTCTAGCAGTTTGAATCCCCACCTACTTTTCGGAGGAACTATCATGCTCTAGCTGAAGACTGTCTTTGCATTTCAACATCTTCGTAGAAGTTATAGATGTAACCGTGATTTATATGCTGTTTTGCTGTACCAACAAAGCTGAATTCACTTCCTCTGCAAATACATTCATGGCATTTAACAGATGCTCATATCCAGAGCGACTTTGCCCTTTGTCGTCCACTCAAAAAATACATCCTTGAATAACATGATTTTATACTGTATATACATTATTCTTTTCTTATTCCTTGTTTGAATAGTATTTTTAAAGTGTTTTAGTAGCAAAATATACCATAATATAAAATACATTTATTGAAAACACAATTTGAAACCTACTTACCTTCTTGATTTATTTACTTGGCTCTCCTCAAACCCTGCACACTGACTTCAGAACACAAAAGGTTTGGGCATCTCTGATTTAAATGCTGCATCTAAGACTGACTGTATCATTTATACTCTGCTCACTTAGCAGAGCTGTGATTTTCTTACAGCTTTCATGTACTGCAAGTTTACTGCACTAACTATTCATTCATGTAAATAAGCACCCTCCCTTCTCTGCTCCACTGAAGTAATAGATGCATTTAATGTATTCAATTCAGATGTGTACACAATTTCCACATCAGTATATTGCATCAGTACAACTGTGTCTTCGTTTATATGCATCATAGTGTCGGCTGTTGTTTACAATGAAAAGAAGTACAATAAACTAACTCGGATGTTTTGGTATTATGTCTGTTCCTCTATTTGTGAACAAACTGGAGAAACCTTGATCATCAAGTAAACTACTAAACATTTAAAAGGCTATTGGAGCACTCACAGTTAGCCAGACTGACGCCTTTGAAGCCGGACATTCCAGCTGCTTTCAGCGTTCTCACCAGCTCGCATCTGTCGAACACCTTGGCACTGGTCACCGCCACCAGCAGGAGGAGCACCCAAATCTTCATTGTGCTGCAGGACGAGAAAGAATGTCTGGAAGTGTTGCTGAGTGTTGTGTGTGTTCTGCCTTGCCCTTTTCAGTGATATATATACATACCGTTTGAGGAAATATATTGGAATTCTTTGTGAACGTTATGTAACCTTCCTGAAAGCTAATTCCTAATTTGATTGGTGTATTTTATCATAGTCAATTGCTTCTTTGTCTGGTCTCGTTGGGCAAACAAATAACTCAATCTGAATAAAATTGTGCAAACACATACGGCAAACAGATTTAATCTATAGCTTGAAAACCAGAGCACTTCTGATTATCAATTTGAGATAAGAACATGTGAAACTGTTCTTGGTCACAAACTGCAGGTGTATGTGTGGTTGTGGAGCAAAAACAGTGATGATCAGATAACATGAGAGGAAGTCTCTGCTCCTTTTCTTTCACTTTTCACATGATTCTGATACCACATCATTACAAACACATTATTACCACACTGGAGAGACTTGTTTTGAACGTGTTCTTGTGTATTTTGCACATTTCCCCAAGTTACAATGCTTCAGTTTGGCCTTATATCAGTTTGCATGATACTAAGCTGATGGTTTTGTTTTCTCAAGATTCCTTGCTTTTGCCAAAAAAGGTGACTGGTAATCTGCAGGTATTAAAGGGAAATTAATTCCACTACCTTTACTTTCCACATAATGCTGTTGGTGAGATGTAAGCAAAGTCATTCAGATTGCTTTAATGTCAAATAGTTGATTGTAAAGAACCGTATTGACTCTTCCTTTACAGTGGAGGCGACAGGCCCCAGGAGTCACAATGTCAACAACACTGATATGTTTTATTTACTATTCAACTATAATACTATAATGTTCAAAACAGCAAAGTAGTGCTAAATCTGAAGAAATATGTTTTCTTTTGAGACTATTTTGCCCAACAGCACTTTGCATGTAGCCTGCCGCAATTCATTTTTCAGCACTCATTGCTGACACAAGTGTTTGATTGTGCACACACAGCTTGTACAATCTCTATAGAGAAGCACTGCCAGTAGAATGGGACACTCTAGAAAAGCTACACATAGTCTGTGGTCACCATGCCCAATGCCGAGCGTCAGCTGGAGAGGTATAAAGCCCCCCTGCATTGGGCCGTAGAGCAGTAGAGTTGCCTTTGGGATGAGTTTCAGTTGCATTTGTGATCCATAACGAATCACCCAACATTAGTACCTAACCTCACTAATGCTCTTGTAGCTGAATGCAGTCAGATCTTCGGAGCAATGTTCCATCACCTATTGTAAAGCCTTTCAAGAAGAAGATTTATGTGTCATAATTTGGCTCTTTGCTACAGCACTAATACAAAGCAAGCATTCATCACTTAAAAAAAACTGTAGTGTTAGAGTTAAACTATTTGATGAAAGTAGTTACAAATGTTCCATTTGTTAATTTTAGTTTAAATGTGTGGCGTTTGCCATGGGCCACGTTGATGTAGGGGGCTTAGGGGGAGTAGCCATGCAAAGTGGCTCTAAGAGCACTTTGGCCACACTCCTGGCTAAAAAAAAGGCAATTTTTGTTGCTGTTATTACTGATTTTGTTATTATTAGAGAAGTTGAGTTATCAGAGTAATTGTGTGCCAGGAGGGTGGGCTGGGTAGTCAACTAGTGGTTACTATTTGTAGCTAACTAGTGGTTACAAGTGTCTCCGCGTATGTTGTGTCCTGCTGCATTACCCCCTCCCTGGATTCATATTGGGTTAGCACTGAACTGGGAATTTCTAGCCTTGTTAAAGACTCGCTGTTGAAGTGCCTGTTTCAATAAAGAGCTCATACACACAATGTTTTCTGCCTCTTCTTCGGAGTCCATGCTACAATTGAAATAACAGAGGAGGCAGGAGAAGAGCACACCTGTAATGTTTAGGATCAAGTAAGTCATCCATCCATCCATCTTCTAAGCCGCTTGCCCTTCAGGGTTACAGAGGGTGCCAAAGACACCTACATGCACATGCACACTCATACCTAGGGCAATTTAGCATCTCCAATTGGCCAGATTGCATGTCTTTGGGCTGTGGGAGGAAACCAGAGCACACTGGGACAACATGCAAACTCCACACAGAAAGGACCCTGGATCAGGGGAATAACCCAGGCTCAAGTAAGTCAGAAAGAGAATAAAATCAAGCATGTTTACATCAGCTGCATGGCATTTGTCACAAACAGTTTAGGATGCAGGATATAAAAAATATTAGATTATGTGTATTTCTTATTCACAAGCACAGTTTAAGCACGTAAAATTGATTTTTTTTTTATTTCTGCATAATTAAATTGATTAAGATGTAAACAAAGTCATTCCGAATGTTTTGATGTGAAACGGTGCACTGCAGAGAAACTACAATCAGGGGTCATAATGTCTACAATGCACATATAGCCATTTTATCTACTGTCCAAAACTACCAGTGAACTTACATGTGACTTCAGAGTTTTTATATGTAATGTTGATATTGGTAAAATTGAGGTATATGTGGGGTAAACAATGTTTTGCCTCACTCTGCATGTACCTCCCCATGCTGCATTTTGAAAATGACATTTCAAGCTAAAACCTTCTCTCAACACTGTCATAAAACAGCATTTCGGTCATTGGGCAGTGTATTCACAATGATTTCATACAATAGCTTTCGATGAGAAAGGTTTCAGAGGCATTAAATGCTTTGAACATCTTGTTCATATCACCAATGCTTTGGACAATTCTGACTCTTTAAGTTTCTCTTGAACTGCACATTTCACATCAAACCGCTCTGAATGACCGTTTACATCTTAATCAATTTAATTATGCAGAAATAAAAAAAAAATCTAATATTTTTTATATCCTGCATCCTACCCTGTTTGTGACAGATGCCATGCAGCTGATGGTGGTCTTCTTGGCTGTCCTAGATTTTTCTTAAACACTTTTTGCAGCCAACATTGTGTGAGATGAGAATGAAATGCTCAATGAATTACCACACCTAACATATATTGGTGCAAATAGTTGAGCAGGAGATAAGAAAGTTTGGAAAGTCAATATACAGGCCTACTTCACTTTATTTAAACTGCACAGGGTGGAACGATTATCCTACTTCCACTTAACAGTGTACACATATGAGCTTTCACCCACAGCACAAGTGTCCTACATACACCTCCCTTCAAATAAATATGAAAGCTGTATAACACCATGAATAAAGTTATAATAAGATTAATATGTAGAATTCCTCACATTTGAAAAATGTAGAGGCAGATGACCTGACAAGAAATTATTAAAAAGGACCATTTTTACATATTATACATTTTGCTCCCAAAATACTGAAAATACTAAATAAATCATCTAAAAGTACCTTAAGGGGTCTAGTTTATAATATTTCAATCTGCGCTAAATATGTTCTTGTTGGAAAAAAATATAATAAAAAATTGGGACAGCAGGCGAAACACAAACAAAACAGAAAGTAGTAAGTTTTTACAGGTATTTATTGAAAAACAGCTCAAAGAATAGACATTTAATATTTTACCTCATCAACTTTATTGATTTTTTTGTAAATATAAACTACTTACAAATTTGATGTCTACAACATTTTCCAAAAAAGTTGGAACAGGGGCAATGTAGGACTGGAAGGAATGACCAAAACACCTATTTTAGAACTGTCTGCATGTAAACAGGTGAACAGGAAACAGGTGAGGCTATCATTATTGGCTAAAAAAGGAGAATTCATGAAAGGCTCGGGCATTTACGAGCAAGGGTGTGTCAAAGCTTTGCTGCTTTGCAAAGAACTGCATTAGCGAATAGTCCAACGTTTTAAGAACAACGTTTCTCATTGCAACTGCAACTGCAACCCTTGTCAGCAAACAGTTTGTCACTGCATCTACAAACGCAAATGAAAATTGTACTACACATAGCAACAATATCCATATATCAACAACATCCAGAAACACTGCTGACTTCTCTGGGCTAAAGCTCATCTGAGATGGATGTAAAAAGGAAATGTGTGCGGTGTCCACCTTTCAAACTGTTTATTGAAATAATGGATGTTGTGTTCTCTGGGCTAAAGAGGAAGAAGGCCATCCTGATTGTCCCCAATGCAGAGTTTAAAAGCCAGAATCTGTTATGGTATGGGGGTGTATTAGTGCCAAAGGCATGGGTAGCTGTACATCTGTGAAGGTACCATTAATGCTGAGGGGCACATATACATTTTGGAGCAACATATGCTGCCATCTATACAATGTCTTTTTTAGGGACGCCCCTGCTTGTTTCAGTAAGACAATGCCAAGCCATATTCTGCACGTGTTACAACAGAGTAGCTTAATAGTAAAAGAGTGCAGTTGCTAGACTGGTCTGCCTGCAGTCCAGACCTGTCTCAGATTAAAAACGTGGTGCATTATGAAGATTCCAGATTGTCGAGCAGCTGAAGTGTCATATCAAGCAAGAATGGGAAAAAATCCTACTTTCATAACTACAACAATTGGTGTCCTCAATTCCCAGATGATTATTGAATGTTGTTAAAAAGAAAGGTGATATAACACTGTGGTAAACATGCCTTGTCCCATCGTTTTTAGAAGAAAAACTATAAAGATAATTAATTGAAACATTAAATATCTTGCCTTTGTACTGTTTTCAACTGCAAAATCATCAGTGAATCATTCCTGTCTTTTTACCTCGAATTTTTCCTCATGTCCCAACTTTATGGAATTGGGTTTTATAATATGCTTGCAGGTTCTTAGAGCTGTTACGCTCAGTTCATTGTTTCTTTGCTACATATGCAGTCACAAAAAGGGATCTAATCCATATGTAAGGGGCTCAAGCACTTCCACTTTTTATATTTACGCATTTTATGTGTCATTGGATGTGCAATATGTATAATTGTGATCAACTCATGGTCAGTAGTCCAGAATCAGTAAACAAATGTGGGGTTGGTTTTGGTTTTCATACTGTTCACTCTCTTATCTCCCCAACCACATAAATCGTTTTTATATGTCATTGCTTGTTTGGCTTTTATTTTAATGATTCAGTTCATTTCACTGTGCATTCATGTCTCTTTTGTTAACAACATAATCTGGATCCAGAATTGTATTCTGTGGTATGAAAAACAGAGAAACTTAAATTAAATCTCTTGCAGTTATAGTGAAAGTAAGGTGTGTGACCTCTGCCCTCAAAGCATAACATTTCAGTTTGTGTATTTCTAGTCATCTTCCCATGATGTACCAGATAATATCAATGAGATATCCAACCCTGTGCTCCCCCTACTGGGAAATGTTGACTTATTCCAGGGGTCACCAGTGTCATCTGCAAAGGGCTGCAGGTTTTCCATGCATGAGCACCTCATATATCTTATCAGTTACTTGAAGACTGAGACCAACTGAATAATCTGGTGTGCTTCTGCTCAGTGTGCAAAATACTCCCTGATACTTGGAGGGCCCCATGTTGGCTGGCTGCTAACTCACTCGGCCTAGTGGCTGATTTTAGCTTCAGTGGCAACAAAATCTTTGGTTTTACAATTCTTCTTTTGGAAATTTGAGTTTGGTAATGCACTTTTCCACACATTAACTGAGATCTTACATGTCTCCTTTTTTGTCTTTGTTTTAAGAAATGAGTAATAATTCACTTTCTACACCAAACTCCTGGGAAATTAGACAGGTTTTCAGATTTACAAATATGCTACAGCATATTGTAAAGTTTTTCAGAGGATCTTAGGCATAGTTACAGTTGCTAGGCTATGAAAGACCAACTGAGTGAACCACTTTGCTACAGCACTACCCTGAGGCACACCAGTGTTGCATCACTAGTTAGTTGAGAATACCGACAGAACCTTGCAGATTGTGGATGAAGCAGCATAACAATGACTCCCTGAATTTGCAATTGGGAATCTATTTTTCCCTAATAGACAACACACGGTCATAATAAGCATATTTTCAGGGAATTTCCCCAGAATTTTGATTTTGAGACAAATGCAAATGAAAATTGTACTACGCATAGCAACAATATCCATAAATCAACAACATCCAGAAACACCACCAACTTCTCTGGGCTAAAGTTCATCTGAGATGGACGATGCAAAATAAAAATGTGTGCTGTGTCCACCTTTCAAATAGTTTATGGAAATAATGGATGTCATGTTCTCTGGGCTAAAGACAAAAAAGACCATACCAATTGTTGCCAACGTCCAAAAGCCAGGGTCTCTTATGGTATGGGGGTGTGTTAGTGCCAAAGGCATGGGTAACTGCACATCTGCAAAGGTACCATAAGAGGCACATACACATTTTGGAGCAACATACGCTGCCATCTACACAATGTCTTTTTCAGGGACATCTCTGCTTGTTTCCATAAGACAATGCCAAGCCATATTCTGCATGTGTCACAACAGCGTAGCTTCTTAGTAAGAGAGTGCAGATGCTAGACTGGTCTGCCTGCAGTCCAGACCTGTCTCCCATTGAAAACATGTCATGTATTATGAAGATTTTAGACTGTTAAGTAGCTGAAGTGTAACAGCAAACAGACATAATAAGCTTATTTTCAGGGACCCCCCTAAATTTAGATTTTGATACATTCAGGGGGTCCAAAAGGTTCATTAGCTAGTCCTCCTGTATTTCACATCTTGCTTCTGCTTGCTTGGAATAAAAACCTGCAGCCACTCCAGCCCTTTGTGGATAATATTGGTGAATCCTGATTTATTCCATCTTCCCATGGTGTACCAGATAATATCACCAAAATAACCAACCCTGTGCTCCCTTACTGGGAAATGTTGATTTATTCCAGTCTTGGTGAACTTACACTCTGCACATTTTTGTATTTATCTAATCTTGCACACCTGATTCAAGCCATTAACTAATTAACAAGCTCATTATTAGCTGTGTCAGGTGTGTAGAGTAGGGAAACGTGTGGGGTTACCAGGCCTGGGATTGGGAACCCCTGATTTTTTCCATAGTACTAAACAGACAATCCTGTTCAGAAGCTCTAAATTATTAGTTTACATTAATTCTTTGCAAAGTATTGAACTTAGAATGAGACAAAAAGGATACACTGCCATCCAGCCTGTTCTCCCTGATCTAGTTGTTGTCATATGACACAAAAAGAAAGCTCCCATGTTGTTTATTAGGCTTGTCCAGTGACTGCCTATACACTTACTGGCCACTTTATTAGGCACATCTATCTACACTCATTGTCCATTTTATCAGGTACACTTACCATAGGCGCCCTTCGTAGTTCTGCACACTGTAAAAATGGTTCATCAGTTCACCCTGAAATAATTACTTCATGTGGTAAAAACAACTAAACTAGTTTTATTCAACTGAAAAAATTGTTTGATTTGAAGGACGATTAATTCAGTGTATTCATTTGGGTTGGAGTTTTTAGTTTGTTGTATTCCATCTCTTTCTCTATATAGTATGTTAGCCCCCTTTACATCAATGCTCAAAACTCCTGCAGGACCACTACAGAGCAGGCATTATTTGGGTGGTGGGTCATTCTTAGCACTGACATGGTAGTGGACATTTGTGCTGCACGGGTTGGATCAGACACAGATGGACCTCAGTGTCACTACTGGACTAAGAATAGTCCACCAACCAAAAATTTCCAGCCAATAGCATCCTGAGAGCTCAGACTGCTAATGAGGGACTAGAGCAGGGCTCTGTTTTAGCCTTTAGGGTTCAAGACTGTATTAAGCCAGTCCTACTACATACATTAGTCCTATGAATTCTGTCTTGTCTACATTTTCCTCACATATTATATTAGTTTTTCTCAGTTGCTTGAACATTTTTGTCCATTCAGAAGTCATACTTTTAAAACAGTTAACACATGATTCTCAACAGATGAGCCAAAATAACACAGGTTCTTTGCAAAATGCCCCCCACCCCCCTCTAAAAAACTTCAAACTCTCCACAAAAACTTTTCTATCAGACGCTTCAACATAAAACCAGAATACATCCCTTCAATTACTCACTAAACAAGCACCAAAAACGCAAAATGCAGGTTAATAAAGGATTTGCGCCTTTAAGCCTTCATTAGTGCTGTATGTCTGCTAATAGTTCACTGTAAACAGGTTTAGAATGGGCCAAAGCTTTAGAATATCAGAGAGGAATTTATTGTTGTCTGCCAGATAAGTTTTACCAGAGATACATTTTAGCGCAATGTACTGCATAACTCTACCCCCGCCAGCACCCACCCACATGATGATTCAGATGCTGAACTGTGCTGCCCTCTTGTGTTTGCTCAAATACCTGCATGAAAGCTAGCTGAGCAGCAACAGCCCAATATACACTACAGATAACATAGGCCTACCATTGGAGCTAAAAATCTTGATAGAGGGCATAGAGTTAGGGTCGTTTTCTGGTGGGCCAAATTTGGACAGCCATGCTTTAGACAATAAGGTCTATTTTAATTATTCTCTGTTTATCAGAAGAAATAAATACTTCTTCTAAAACACATCACATTACATTCTTATTTGAAAAAAATGCATCATTAACACAATACTACATATAAAGAATGCTTCCATCTTAGTCTGTTCAGAGTTCAGGAGCATCCCAGCCTGATAATGCCATGCAATAGGATAATAAAGATAACAGGTAAAATTAATACTGAATTAGCTCTGTACATTTATTCTGCACTCAATTTAAACAGAGTAAAGTTTATGTGACTCTTACAGGAGAACAACATCCACAGCTGCTTCATTAAAGAGAAAAGCACAAAGTAGGGTGTAGTGTTTTAATAATGTTAAGTTTAAGGTTAAACTTAGGACATACAAAAGCATTGCAGGGCACAGACACACTCAGCAGGACCAAGAAAGGGGAACTAAAAAGCAGTCAGGTTACAGAATACAAGAGTAATGAAGCACAGCTTTTGCCAGTAGTATGTGAATATCCTAAATAAATAAGTGTCAAATAGTGGAAAAGACTGAAATACAGTACGCAGAGATTGCATGTAGGCACTGTGACCTATGGTGGCTCCCTATGTCTTTTTCATCACACAGAAGCGCAGTATGGATGTACTGCAAAGCTAAAATTGATCATCAACTTTGTGCCTTTTAAATCACATTCACATTTTTTTCATGTTAAAAGGAGAAAGCTGTAGGATTTCATGGTGATCGAAAACAATAAAAATGTGTTACATCATAAACAAGGTTTCCAGTTAAGACTTTAGAGTTCAGGAGCATCCCAGTGCGATAATCCTACACGCTGTTCTTATGAAATGAGTCTTATGTATTTTGTCTTAGTGTTCTCATTAGGTACACATAGATATTTTAGGTGACACCTCAACTGGTAAGAAAACTTCACTCCACGTGAACTGAAAACAATGAGCAGTGCATTTCTTTAGTGTTACTGTACTGATGAACAGAGAAATAGTCAGGCTCAGTCCTGAGTCACAATAAGAATTTCCTGCTCCCTTACTTTGAGATTCACGGTACATAGCAGAGCTCAGCGCAGCCAGGAGCAGCAGCCTTTATCCATTATGATTATGGAAAATTCTGGCACAATTAAATCAAAAATTCCAAAAAACAACAAAGAATAAATCTAACACAATCACATAACAGTATTCCAGCCTCAAAATAAAACACCCAATATGTAAACAAATAATCAAAAAACTACGCAGGTTCAATATGCAGTTCAGTCAGGACAAAAGGAAATACCACCATAATATCACTGTTGCTAACTCTAAGGTGCTCTTCTCAGCATTCACAGAAGGTATTTCTCATCCACAGCAAAAAAAAGAAAAAAAGATAAGGACTAGTGCATGTCATGTCAACTAAACAGGTATTTAATAATCCAAAAATTAAAAGGTACAATCAGGATATTACCCAACACTACTCCTAAATCCTCCAAAGCCTGTCTGGAATAAACAAAAGGTGCACTGCTTCCAACAAAGCCCTCAGTGCAATGCTTAACCCACTTAGAAGAGACTTGTATGTACAACTCCTTATCACTGCAAATATGAGTCAAGTGTTTGGAAAAAAAAATGATTGTACCTTTAAACTTTGAAGTCATAATTCATCATTAAGAGACAGGGAGGAGTAAAATAAAACATAACTATAAAGAAAGTTCATTTACAACAACAGCAGTAGAGGTTTAGGGACTGAATAAAAGAGAAAAACAATGTACTAAATAAGCTGGTCTTAAAAAAATTTCATTGCATGCTTCAAACCAGTGTAACAGGTCCACACTATTAACTGTGGCGGTGATAGTATTGTCAATAACAATAGTCAATAAATATTACACCAATTATAGCTTTTAAATAGTAAGACACAAAATGTTTAACATGGAAAACATGCCTGACTGGCACCAAAATATGAGTAATATGAACCGTTTACAGCTGTGTGGCTTATTGGGTAAAAAACTTTGGATACGATTGTCAGGTGTTACACACACACAAATAAAGAAAAAAACAAAACAAAACAAAAAAAAAATATATCACATTAGCAATCAAGTTTTCCCCAGGACACCCAAAGTTCATCCTTTGGTTTGTTTTAGGAGCAATGCTGTGCACCAACATGAGAAATAAACAGAAAAGTAGTTTCATTTCTGAAATGTGTGCATACATGGACAAGCGTAATGTTGGCATTGTCCATGTAGATCCTTCATTTTATCATGAAACCAATTCCCAACCATGAGGGATTACTCAATCTGAAAAACCTGGACTAAAATAATCCGACTGGCGTCCTGCGGCGTATGGGGCAGGGGCGGGGGTAAAAAAAAATGGAAAGGGGGATTAATAGTGTGTATATGAGGTGCTAATCTCAGCTCAGGTTCTCTGAAGATAAGCCTCTCCTGCTCAAATCCTCTCCCAGCACTGTCTTAAATAACCTCCAGATTGTGTAACAGTCAGTGTTTTACATAAAGATTCTGGCCAGACAGAGGCAAAATGAGGAGTGAAGGTGAGCTCACCCAATGACACATTTAAAGGAGCGAGGATGCTAATGCTAGTACGCTAATATTAGGAGAACAACACAGTGGGCTATGCTAACCAGGTTAAAAAAAAAAACAAAAAACAATAAATATATATATCCAGATGTAATAACAGTGCGATCCAGTGCAGAGCATACATACATACGTTTTCTGCAAAAGAGGCATTTCCACACAAAGGTATAACACCTTAGCACAGGTGTACACGCACATACAGTAGTAGCAATTATTAAGCAAGTCATTTATTGCTAATCCTGAACGACCTCAACCCTCACACTTAACGTATCCCCTGGACACACATACACACTATCAAAAGAACTTCTCTGTTTTTGTTCACAGGTTAATGTTTAAGTTAGTCGGGCCTGGCGGTGCCTCATCGAAACTTCCTGGTTAACAAACAGTTCTTAAAATAACAAATTAGTGGCCTATGGGTGCCTTACTACAGGAACTGCCTATGATCTGAGTGAAGAAACGCAAGGCCCAAATATAGCAGCCAAATCCCCCTGCGGGTGAGGGGCCTGGCTGTGGATGCTAGCGGCCTGTGCCAGGGTCGCTCATGTTTTGTTCCTGCTGAACATGCGCTCTCCCCGCAGGGTGAGGTGCTGGAGCTGGTACTGCAGCACCTCGGTGTCTGCCGGCTCCCTGAGGCTCATCTTGTCCAGGTTGAGGTAGTCCAGGGACTTAGAGTGCGCCCGTTTGCCTTTAAGCAGGCAGAGGGGCAGGGGCCCGTGTAGAGCCTTGCTGGGCTCTCCGGCCACCAGCGACCTGAAGCAGGAGTCGCCCGAGCTGGGCATGCGCCTCCTCCTTCGCCCGTTGACGGCCGGGATGTCGTAGGGCTGGTAGAAGCGGCTTTTGGCTTTGTAAATCCGCGAGGCGCGGTGCAGGCCCAAATCCACAGGCTTTTTGACAGGACTGGGCAAGGCCTCTATGTTGCTCTTCTCAGGACCGGACCACTTGTGGGCCAGTTTGAGAAGCTCCTCGCCGGTGGTGAAGCCCACCAGGTAGTTGGAGTTCATGTGGAGGATTTGGTATCCTGAAACAGTACTTTTGATGGGCGAGCAAGGGGTGCTGGAGCAGCGCGGTTTGTCCGCTTCGGGCTTCAGCGTAGCTTTGACCTCAGCAGCAGCAGGTAAAATGGATATGGGTGCCCTGGACACTCCACTGACATCCATCTCCATCTTTAATGACATGACCTGGCCAGAACAAGGAGAAAAGAGAGAACAACAAACAAAACAGTAAGAGCAGAAACAGAATACAGTAAACACAGAAATATTAATGAGATGGAGCTCTTTTCGATGGCTATCATCCCCCTGTATGTTCACGAAAACAAGTCACTAAATGCAATCACATCATCTGTCGCTCGACTCATAAAACAGATAAATCCCTGAAGAGTGCCCGTCTGCTTGAATAACATGGACATATGGTCATGCATGCTGCCCTGCCAAACACATGGTCAATAATAACAATGACATGAAAAAACAGGCTTCTGGGACACAGGATTAAAACAAACATTCCAGAAAGGCCACAGGTAATATTCCTCTACCTACGGGAGAACGTCAGGTTATATTATCCACTGGATGCTCTTTATTGTCAACAGATCCAATCCAACCACCTCATGTTCAAAAATGTTAGCATGAGCCTTTGTTACTTACCAGCCAGCATAGAATCAGACAAATGATGTAATATTCCACTGTAAATTTCTCTATGCAGGCTTAGTTGGCATTCTTATCTTGACACTGACCTCAAGGCAACCAGAACTGGCCAAGTCTGGATGCTCCTTCATGGACTACCTAATATTTCCAATAAGAAATGCTACTAACAGCAAAACCTAAGAGATTCCCATAAGGAAATCTAATATATGATGACAAATGGGTTTCAAATATGACAAATATATAAATATACGACATATATAATCATATACGGATTTCCCTTAAACCCTCTTTATATTTGTCATATATATATGTATGTATTTGAAATACAGGACATATATTTTAAACATTATTTACGAATGGATAGCGTATATTTCTCATATATGCTGGCTGCATATTACATAATATAAGGATTTTGTTTATTTTTTATGGTAATATATACATGGTCATATATTAGATTTCCATATGAGATGACAGAGGCTTTGGCATAATGATGCCCATTAAAATAAGATGAAAGGTCTGATGAGAAAATGTAAACGGCTAGCAGCAGCTAAAGGCTGTAACACCAAAAAATCCCCCTGAATGGGGGCTTCATACACTAAATCAGCATTTACAGAACAGCATGTACTGTGGCCCAGATGCTCCACCAAAGACTGTGATACATACAGCTCACTCTTAACACGCTGCTGGAACCACAAACTGAAGATCTGAGGAAAAAAAACGTGGCAGAAGGCGAACTTTAAATCTGCAGTTAGAATAAACACTGAACAGATAATAAAACCGAAATTGAGATGAAATCCGTAGTGAGATGAGACTGCATTTCCACTCCTCCTCCACCAAAACCCACAACACTGGGGCCCTCCTGTCAGACAGTGGGCGCAAACGGAAAAGGCACCCGCCTGTGGGGTCCTCTAATATTCAGCACTGCCAATCTCATGCCTAATCCAGCATATATATACACACAGACATGCAGAATAATCTCGACGTGCTGATGTCATTTTTCTCCACGTTTCGCGGCCTTAGCTCCTCTAGCTTAATGCTAACAAACAAAACCCATCATGGGGAGGAGGCCAGCTCCTGCGAGGCTAAGTCAGCTTCCTATTCTGTTCCACCTTAAACTGTCCAGCAGTCATACCATAACGCCAGAGTGTAACTGCTGCACCATTTAAGGTGGAACGGGAAAATTCGAACAAGAAGCTGGTGAGTAGAAAAAGGACTCCAGCTCCACAGCAATGGTAACTAGAGCTCTGGAGCAAAAAGGGCCACGACTATGAAAGCGCTGCAGTCTGGATCAGTGTTGAATAAACCAAGCACAAACCAAGCCAACGAACACTCCCCGCGGACCTCTCTGTAGTCCTGCAACACCATCCATCCTCCAGCAGGCTGTAATGGCTGCAGTCTGCCCCTGCCCACCATTTGACGAGACAAATATAAATGTACAGGATACAGCCGCCCTCGTCTGAGCGCGAGACGCTAAACAAACCCCGCTGCAGCAGCCCGGCGAATCGCGCTCGTGTATCCGATGTTAAACTGATTGAGAAAATGAATGGAAGTGATTATACCGACCTGCTCGGTGCGCGCGCCTCCGCTTGTAAGCCAGCTCGAGCTCCCGGGGACGCGCGTCGTACACCGGGTCACCTGACGTGGTGATGTCATGGCGATAGCCATGGCTCAGTTCGATGCCGTTTACCAACGAACCGACTCTTTCGACCTGCCTTTTTAATGAGTCATCGATTCAGTCGCACAACGATCCGATTCTTTCTAACGACCCGTTTTAGTGAATCAAACGTCGGTCTAGTGCTCGGGAGTTCAATTCAGTTTTCCGAACCGATTCTTTTGTTCTGTCCGTCTTAAGGAATCGAAGGTCTGGTTCAATGTGGTCATTTTTCGATGATTAGGAAAGTCAAGTCACTGTGGCGTGGACAAAAGTGCAACACGGCATACACAGTGCACGTCGTGAAAAGAAAACGGAATAGGACGACATTCATTTAAACGATTCAGTGTTTCAGAAGTAAACATTATTCTTATCCTCCCTCCATATCCAATTTAATTCGATTCTGAATGAGCCCAATGCATGCTAATGCTACTGTTGTGTTTTTATAAAGATGAACTGCGAACAATTCGGTTTTTTATAAGTCTTCAGTCTTTAAACCGGATGTAAATATTGTGTAAATGCTACAGAGGTTTGATTCAGTGTGAATCGCTTCAAACGAACGAGTCAGACACTGCTACACCACGAACATGAACATGGATGGAGAAGAAAAGTTGGTTTTCTTTACACAGACTGAACCCACTTCAGGACTGTATGGCACTGGCAGTTCACTGTGCAAACGTGTTGTGGTCTGGATTAGATTAAGGCTACCTTTAATCTGTGTATGTAAAACAGAATACAGTGGACAGAAATGGCTTAAAACCATATTAAAGTGAAAGTGGTATTACATCAGTCAAATAATGACTCATGAAAAAAAGTATCTACTAGAAACAATTCAAGTAAAACCTACTCAGATATCAGTTTGAATATGACCAATTCCCTGTAGAACTGCAGTAAAACAACTTACATCATAGGGACTCAAGTTTGTTAGGTGCTATTCCTCTTTTTGAGATCATCAAAAAAACCTTTAAATATGAAAAAGGGGGGGTGAATTCCCCATAAATATCCTTAAAATCAAATAAGATAATTTGAAAACACACAGGAAAGTTTAAATCCATTTAAAATTTAATTTAAGAACATGAGAACACGGATCACTAGGTAAATGTGACTAGTTATTACCCACCTCAGATGGCAAATCCTGGAGAAGCAGTTTGGAGCTTGTTTTATGAGCTCAATGAACAGAGAAGGAGAAGTCAAGTGGTCATAGTAGCTGCCTTGCTAGTTACTGCAGCCAGGCAACAGAGGGGCAACTTCACAAAGACAGATGGGAACTGAACACTGACCTTAGGCCTGCAAACATATAATTAATGACAAGTGCATTGTGCGGCCACAAAGCAGGATGTCTGAGGTCATCATGGTGGTGTGAAAAGATCAGGCAAGTAGCAATGAGTTCCAGCACTTCTTGACAATTAGATTAAAATTTAGTATATAGATATCGCACATTAGAGCAGGTCAAGAAACATATAATAACTTGCAGCAACTCAAATGAACCAGTGCAACAGGCATTGCTACAACATTTGAGTAAAGTCGACTCATAAGTTACTATTTATGGGTAAATGTCAAGAGGATGGACGAGAAAATAATCTGCTTCTATCAAATGCATGTTTCTCAATTAATCTGTGCACATTTCTGCAATCAAGAATATATTTCCCCTGCATATACAATGAAAAGACTGTAACTAGGGCTCCAGGCACCTCACATACAGAGAAACAGAAGCAAGGAGCTTAACCAAGCTATCATCTAAATTGTGGTGAACAATTGCATCCAAAATCAGGCAGGTTGCTCAGACAGCAGATATCCAGGTAAACAAAATACCAATGGACTCTCAGATAGAACAGTACTGTCACTATATAAAGACACTTGCTCTGAGTACATCCAGAGGGTTCAAAACTCAGAACAAGACAAAAAAAAAAAAATTCCAGAGCACTTTAATTTTCATAAAAACCTCCTATGCACTGAAACATCTTCAGAAAGTGTGGCATGTAAAAATCATTAAAAAGATAACCAGCTTGGAAAATAAATATTTTCAAGTCCTCTTACGACAGCACAGAGAAATGCTGTAAAAATAAAAATAAGGACAACTGCAGTTTTGTTTTTTGTTTGTTTTTTTTGCTAAAACCACATTCATGCAGATAAATGAAATAAAGGGATTTCATTAACACCAATCAACTCACAGATATGACAGGAGTTTCACCAAGGTTTATTCCCAATATATATCTATATATACAATAAGGTTTGGTTACGATGGAATAAAGCATGATGAAAAATCTTCCACAACTGTAACTCTAAGGCAGATTTCTCCTCATTTCCAGTTTGATGGGAAGGAAATGAAGCGCAAACACAGTGTAACTAAAGATATGTATGAAAAATAGGACTCTAATTACATTTTACTTTGGACTTTGATATTAAGCCCCCAAAAGTGCTGCATTAATTCAATGTTCAGGAATAATTAAAATAGCTTTAGCAAAATGTCATACTTATCATGACAAAGTAGACTGTGTACATCTGATTGTACATTCAAACATTCAAATATACAAGATATGAGTAACAAATCCTAAGTAACTCTTACTCTGGTGAACATACAGTAAATGCTAAATCAGCCATGGCTGTGACAATGAAAAATGACTGCAAGATCTTTTGGTATCTTAGATATGATGTCATCTAGTGAGACAACTACAGGTAAAATTGGACGAATCAAGGCCTGTAACATCCAGTTTAATGTAACAGTGGTGTCAAGAGAGCTTCAAGGCATGTTCAGTTTGTGGAATCTGCCACTGCTTTCTGCTCTTTTAGCATGGTGGCTGATGATTCTTGGTCTTTTACCATCACTGGTGTTGCAGTGAATTGCTGCACTTTGTCTTTATGATGTTCTTCTTGAGAAGTCTGCTTGGTGGGCTTTTCTAGGGCTGGTTTTGCTCCACTTTGATAATCCTGGGTGTTGGCTTGTTGCGATGTGATATGGCAATGATTATTACCATGGGATGATATCTGATGTGCCATTGTTACACTTTCGGAAATACTGTTGTGTTGAGTTGAGACTTCACAGCTTTGAGTTTGGGTTGATGTGCTATCCTCTTGCACTTCCTGGTAGGCTGACTGTGGTTGGCATTTGTCAGACAAGCCCTCAATGGATGGTAACAGATGGGAGGCTGAGGTGCCAATAGCTGTAGCCTGGTGGGGTTCTGTTGTGTTGGGCTGTATGGCTGCTTTGCTTTTTGGGGCCTGCTGAGGAGACCTCTGCTGTGACGGCTTGTCTCCAGTGGCACATTGTTGAACCAGGTCCGCTTGGCCTGATCTGGACACTCTGGAAGGAGAACCTCCTCCAACTGGGCAGAATAAAACACACACACACCGTCATATATGTATAAAATCACATTTGTCACTTGCATAAACGCCACTTGCATCGAGGCAGGTCATCAGCTAAGCTTCTGGATCATGATTAGGTTAGTGACTATCTTGCCCTTCTATTAGCTACTATTCGCTATTCACATATCATTACATTCAAATTTACAGACTTTAAAATCCTCTAGTCATACATACAGTAAAAAAAAAAATAAAATCTTCAAAAGGAATAAACTCACTAATTCAAATAGAAACTGTTAAAATTAAATACATTTTTTCTCATATATCTACACTCTTAAAACTGAATGTCCCAAAAAGGGTTCTTTAGCTCCCAAAATAATCTTTCAGTGGATGGTCCTTTACTGAAGTACTGTTGTAAATATCTGTGCAGCACATTTTTAAAAATTTAAACACAACATCTTGACACAATATGAAAGTTCTATACAAATTAAAGGTTTTTACAGAACTGTACGTCCCAGCGAAGTACCACTTGCAAAGGTTTTTTTTTTATATATTTTTTTTAGTGTCTACTAAACATATTTGCCATTTACACATGCCTGATACAGCCCGCTCTGGTGACTTCTTTGACAGTGACTGCGTGAATGGGCAGGGTAAAACCTTCGCAGGAGTGTAGGTGTTTAAAGGCACCTTCCTTCCTTGAACAGCTGTGGGTCAAACAATGAAAAAAGTCAGAATTGCTAAATAGTACTAAGTCACTAGAAAAGAGACAATTTAAATTCAGAATTTTTTAAATCACAAAGATTCTGAGCTCAGCTGTCACCGTACCTGGTGAGCATGCAGAAATGTCAAGCAGGGAGTCATGGGATTTGGCAATTGAGGCGAGGAAGTCGTCAACTTGTTTGAGGGACAGTGAATTGTGAAGGGTCTCCAGTGGGCAGATGGAGGGAACCATGGAGTACAACTCAAACCCTTAAATGAAATATAAAGCACACAGATGAACATTCATAATAATGGCAGTAGGACAAATCATCTGCAGTAAGTATAAGCATTCGACACATTCACATCATGGCACACAGAGATATGGCGTTCCATTTCCTGAGAGAATGACAAGGAGCAACAGCACCATCAAACATTTGTTTGAGGTGGGCAGAATGGAAGCAGATGGGTCACACAAAGTACGGTACAACTCACTAAGAAACTCTACCTACTACAGTGTCATCAGCCAGGATGATACTACTGAGTAAGAATGTTCTACTTACCTTACTCACACCACATAGCCATGTATTTTATTTCAGTTACTTATTCATACTTTGAGCAGAGCACATATAAAACTTAGCAGCTGTATGTTTAGAGAGAAACTGCTATTAAGAAAAAATTCCCTAATGTAATTAATTTTGCCTAACGCCTATAATTCAGGTCTTTTCAACTACAGAACCTAACATAAAAATGTAGCCACATATAGCTCATCAAGCCAATTTTCAATAACCAACTGCTCAAGCATTTCACTAGATTCATCTTGCATTTTAGCATAGTTTAACTGTGTCACAGAGATTCTCTCACTCTCTACAATTTACATAAACATATGTAAAAGTAATCTTAGTATGTATTACTTATTCAATAGCAGTTTAATAAAAGTTGCGGGAGCTGGACTAGCACCACGGAAATATTCAAAGCAGCTGAAGATAATTCATATGTTAAACAACATTAACAGTGTAATTTCAGCCAGGCCAGAGTTGCTGCTGTCTTCCTCAGGTGGACATTTGGGATAAAAAAAAAAATGCACTACAATTTTGCTATTTTAACATAAGATGGGTGAGAGAACCTTAAACCAGACCATAAAGATTTTGCATAAAATCTCATACAGAGCACTCAAGAGAGTTTTCCCTGTATTGGCTGGTTGGCATTCTTAACAGACACTATGTAAAACCAACACAGTGACGTACAATAATGATCATTGTGTTAATTTAAATATACTGATGTTCAATGGCAGTGGATATACAATAAAAAGAAAATCTAATGCTGACAAAAAACCCAAAGAAATATGGCCCCAATTTTTAAGAAAATAATCAACATTGGAAAAAACAAAAAAAAAGTATAGAAAGCCCAAACCAGGAACCACTAAAATAAACATTAACCACTAAAGTTATTATAACTGTATTCTACAACAGTATGTAATACTTAACATCCAAAGATTCCAATGCATTCATTTGTATTGAAACCACAATTTGGCATGTTGGCACCCTTCTTCTGGACAAGTTTGACCATTTTACTGTCTACCAGAAAACAGTTTTCTTTTTATTTGCATATTCCCCAGTATTCTTTGCTAGACTGAAAATCTTTGTTGTAATCTTTCCAAATGGCACTAAAAGAACATATGTGTGTAGTTGTGGTGTATTTACAGCCCATAATTGAGTTCAATTTTACTACTGTTCACATTTTTGTACTAACTACAGATTAGAATGATTATACAAAGGAAATTGCTGAAAAAATGACCAATTATCAGCCCAAGGCTAATGACAACTTTTGAAAGCTTAGGGTAGATGTGACAAAGTGGTGTTGCTTGAAAGCCTCTCTATTTGCAGTACCAAAATGTACTTGATTCCCAATTGGGGCTTTCATGTTAAACTATATCAATTGTGTGCTCCAATTTTGAATTCAACTGTGTGCTCCAATTCTGTCAACTGAACACAACTTTAGAATGGAGTGAATGGTTGCTCTCAGTGGACTCTTTTTTTTTCCTCATTATCCATTTTTTAACTGCTGGAATGCAACAGAGGCCTGTTTTCAAGTAACTATCGGGCTGGTTTTCCAGACATGTTTCAAGCCTAGAGGACTAAATTGCATAATTAGTGGTGAATAGTTCAAGGCTAGGCTTAATCTATGTCTGCAAAACAGGCCCATGAGTTTAGTTAAGCAGCATTAGAAGGTTCTGGAAAATATATATTAAGTTGTGAAAAGGAATTCAGCTACATTTCTGATGGGGGTTATCTGGCCATCAAATTCAGAAGCCAACACATGAAAACTTTTCCCTAATGTAAGTGTATGGCAAAGTTTTTCCATTTACCTGAGATGTACAGGTCAAACTATCCTAACATTTTATTTTAATAATGGCATAACCCCAAACTTATTTGTTGCTGAAGCACACAGTGTTACAATACTATTCCCTACAAGGAGAGAACAAACAGGGGTTGACAATTTGGTGAAGGTTAAAAATTGGGGCTAAAACCCAGAAATAAGGGAGCTGACATCTACAAAACGCCAGGAATCAGAGCCAAAACAAAACAGTCAGACAGGATAGAAACAGGGAAATTAAATGATAATAAACACTTACCACAGAACATACTGGGAAACACTGACCCATTTAGAAAAGCAGATTAACAAAATAAGAAAAAAAAACAAAGAACAAAAAAACAACCAATAAAAATGCTACCCTCAAAAAGTCCAGATTTCTAGAACCTCATAATACAGCTGCAGTCTCAATCTTGATATTCTAATATTAATATGCAGTCTCAGTCTTAATATTCTTATAACATATTTTTTTCCTAATATCATAATGTGTCTCATTTTAAGCTAAATAGTGCCTACTTAAGCCTATTACATATTCTTTGCAGTCTTTACTAGCAATGACTTCACATATAAAATAAGTGACAGGTTTCAAGGTCAAAAGAAGTCAATTTGTCACCAAAAAAAATTGGCCTAATTTGCTATGATGCTTCATCATTTTGACCAACAAGTTTAATGTTCTTTCAGAAAATGTATATTACATGTAATGACAATGACGCAAATTCAGTGAACAAAGAATATAACTAAATTTAAATCTATTCGAACAATTCAATGCTTAGTCATGTTGAAGTGTTCAATAAAAAAAAAACAAAACAATCCAACAATCCAACTTTACATCACCTTGTACCGCACTGCGATGATAGAAAAAAAATTTAGCCATTTGGATCCTTGTGTTGATGATGTTTAGCAGAACTGAGCGAAGGAAATATAAGGTTGAAAAAAGCACATGGTCTCTGAAGTGTTGCATGAGAATTTTAGCCATCTCAAATGTTCATGGCCGCATTCCATGTGCACTGCCCTGAAGTTAGTGGGGAGGAACTGAGAGAGGAAGTCTAAATCCAAAACAAAATAATGGGGGAGGTGACGGGATAAACGGTGTACTGGGAATTAACGAAAGCAAACATACCATTGGTCGGGTGTCGCGCAAATGAGATAGAAAATCTTTTTACAGCAGAACCACGCGTGGCCTCTGAGAAAGAGAAAAACAGGTACCTGAAATGTACAACAGCTAACAGAAAGAGGGGTTAGAAAAGGGCAAAAGAAAGCAACTGTTAGAGGGCATGCAGGAGAGAAGGGTAAGGAAGGGACAGGAGTGCGTATTTTAGTGAGTTAGAAGTGCTGGGATTCTGACAGGCAAAGTGGGGGAAAAAAACTCGACCGCTATGGTTATCTGCTTTTCAAAATGGCAGGATGCATTTGCATTCTGCTTAGGAAAACATGAATGACGACCTATCAGTGATCAATCATGTGTCCTATGGATGGACTGATGAATTCAAATTCTCATTCAAAATGACAGAACGCACTACATCAGCTTTCCATCTCAAACCTTTACAGTTCTGCATACTGTTCTAATATTTAAGTCTACTCTAAACCCCATTCACAGTGCTTGTCTCTCTACACTGAAACACACTGTAATTCAGTGCCACAATCCTAAACAAATAAAGGAATCCTAGAAAAATGAATGTAACCACAATCACGTGAAGCAGTATGTACACACTGAAAAACTTTGCCTTTTTCAATTTATGTGGACATACATATATCCAGTATTCATTTAAACAATAATGATCGATAAAAGTGATAGAGAAGGTGATATATTTAAAATTGACATTTGTCATCTTTTTATAACTGAAATAAACAAAAATGCAGTTTTTTTTACATAGAAAAAACAAGTACATCCCTGCATATATCACTTCTTCAAATGTGTGAAATCAGGTGCACACAATAAGGTGCTAATGCCTAAAACACCATCATAGAATATTTTGGAGGAAACTGTCTTATTTAACCCTCAGAAATGTGATCTGATTAGCTCTTTTTAATTGGACTGCATGGTATCATCATGCCTAGCTCAAAAGAGATCTCTGAGGCCTTCAGAAAGAAGTTTGTAGATGCCTGTGAGTCTGGGAAGGGGTTTAGGAAAATTTCCAAAAGATTTAAGATTTAAGGGGGCTTCCGAGTGGTGCAAGCATTGGCCCTTTCATCAGGAGTTCGATCCCTGGTGATGCTTAAGCCTCGCTTTCTCTGGATGGGCAGGATGGCCCCTCATCTCCTCCCATCACCCAGCTCAAAGCTAGCCAGTGCATGCATCTGTTAGCTGGCATAACAGAATTGATGGCTGGCATCTTACGTTCGAGTGCGTTCAGCTGTACAGTGACGTTGCGTTAGAAGCAGTTAAAAAGTGGGGCTCGTCTCAAAGGTCTTGGTGGAAACCTGTGCTAGCGTTCACCCTCCTAGTGCTGGTGGTATCGTGTGATTGGGGGAGTCTTAACTACATCCATATTAGAGAGAAAATTGGGGGAAAAAAATTCAAACCACTGTCAACTTTTTTCAGGCAAGGCCACCCCAGCAAATTTAACCTGAGAGCAGACCACAAGATGTTTAAGAAGTCTCTAAAAACCACAAACTTTCATCACAGGCAACAGTGCTTGCCACTGTTGATGTCAATATACGTGCATTTACCATTACAAAGAGACTGCACAAATTTGACCTACATGGTAGATGCACCAGAAGGAAGAATTTGCTGTCTGAGAAGAATATAAGGGCAAGACTACAGTTTGCTAATAAATATCTAGGCAGTAACTAGGACTTCTGGAACAATGTGCTATGGACAAATGAGTCAAAAATAGAGTTGTCTGACCACAGACAGGTCATCTGTCAAAAAGTTGACAATGAAGAAGTACAACTTTCGACAGGATAATGTTTTCAAGCAAACAACTGAATCCGCCAAGAAATGTCTCAAAAGGAAGATTATAGAAAGGTTATGGAATAGCCTTGTCAAAGCCCAGAACTGAATCCCATTTAAATATGGAGGGATGATTTGAAACAGGATGTACATGCAAAAACCCCCATACACTGCACAGTTAAAAGAACTCTTCATAGAGGAGTGTGCAAAAATCTCCCGGTAGATGTCAGAAACTGGTAGATAATTACAAGAAACGTCTACATGAAGATGCTTCCAGAAGGGGCTGTACCAGTTACTGCAGCCAGGGGTGTACTTACTTTTTCACCAGTTCACTTTTTTAAATAAATGATTGCAATGTCAAATTTCTATTGTATTTTGTCCTTCAACATAACATTTATATACAGTGTTTACCCGAAGATCAAATACTAGTATGTCCACATATGTCAAAAAAGGAACACTGCATGGGGTGTACTAGCTTCTTCACATGACTACATAATGCCATTTATACTGTCAGTGTCAAGCTGATTTTAAAGGTGCAGTATTTAAGATTTACAAGACTCTATTAGCAGAAATGGAATGTAGTCTACAAAACTATGTTTTTATTAATGTATTATCACCTGTAACTACAAATCGTTGTTTTTTTCACTATCTTAGAATGAGTGCTTCATATCTACATAGACAGCGGGTCCTCTTTCAGCAGAGCCTGCCATGTTGCGCTAGCATGTTGCGCTACCACGTTTCAACAGTAACCCAGAACGGACAAACCAAACACTGGCTCTGGAGAGTGCCTTTCACATTTTTACGTTTAAGTGGCAGCTTGAATTTGGTGGCACTGTAGTACTGGTTGGAAGACGTAAAAAGAAGAATCAGTGGTTGCTGCCAGCGCTGGCAAACATTTTTGCGTTGTGAGAAGTTTGAGAACTCAAATTTGGACAAATGGAGGAACATATTAAGTAGCACAAGAAAAAGCAAGGGAGTGAAGTAAGGGTGAATCCTCGTTGTCAAAGAAGAGAACACATGACTGTCACCTTAGGTTCTACTACATACTTAAAGGGAGGAATGAAGGAGGGGTGAGGAAGGGGTATTTAGTTGGTTGCAGTCTGCAACCTCACTTCTAGATGCCATTAAATCTTACACACTGCACCTTTAAAACATTTAAAATCAGAACCAACTACTTACAGTGCTGTAGCTTTAATAGTGTTTATGTTTCTGTTGATGGACACAAGTTTGGCGACCTACCGGTTTTGGAAACTCCTGGTTTTCCTTATGTTGTTCCCCTTCCTTATGCAAGTGAATTATCTTACATCTAATATCCTAAGAAATATCTCCTTGAAAATGAATAACTTCTACTTAATGGCAATTTTGACTGGAAATTAAATAAATGAAGGGTGGTCTCTGACTTTTGCACAGTACTGTACATTTTTTTTATTAGATTTGTATTATTTAAATGTTGCTATTTATAACAGGCACACAGACTACTTGAGCCCTTTTGCTCCTGGCCTTTCACTATAAGCAGCAATTGATTTTCTTTCGCAGTTCTCAATGCAAACAGTACACTGTTTATATCAGTAGCTACTCATGATTACAACAAAAAGTACTTTCCCCTGTTTTATTGCACTGATGTAAGAAGAATGTGAAATGTGCTAACAGCATTTTAGAGTAATTATTATAGAAAAGCTTAGTGTAATGTGTTATATACAAATGTAAAGCATCTACACTCACATTGTTATGGTTGTCTGAAATATGCTAAACATTATGCTATACCATTATGCTACAAGTGCTTGTGTAGACTCATATAGGTCAAAATGAACATAATTGTCACTTATTTATTATGTACATTAATTACAGCCACCAATTGTTTGCTTTTCTATGATAGATGTAATTAGAAATTAAACTAAGTTTATAAGAACATAGTAATTACAAGGCTTTTATCAGATAATCACATGTATAAAATTAAAATAAATAGAAAAAAACACAAACAAAGCCCCAAAAGAAGCAACTTGAACTAAATCTGAATGTTCCAATGAGTCGTGCAGCAACTAAAATTTTAGACACAACACACACACACTCGCATAGTGTAAAAACAAAAAGAGGGAGTTCCCAGGATTCCTAAGATGAGGGGATAAAGGCTTTTTTTTTTTTTTAAATAAGATGTGTGCGCGTGTTTGCACATACCATCTAAGAAGGCAGAAGAGGTCAGCTTTTTACGGTGTGTGCGAGCATAATCTTGTAGGTTAGGTGCACTGGAGGAGCCTCCCAGCACCATGGTGCTAAACAGGCCAGCACAATGAGACCCTGATGGAGTTAGAGAAGATACATACAGCCATCGTGTGTTCCACGAGCCACACCTTGGAATGCATGCAGCATGCATTTCTAGGAGATTCTTGCCACAGAGAGACTTGTGCAGCCTCATTAAAAGCATCCCATAATGACAGTAATGTCATTTGTCGTCCTGACAACAGGTTTAAACAGAAAACTGCCTTTCAGTAGAACACTTTGCTTATTGTGTTCACTGTTGGGTTTATTTGTATAGACATAAAATACTTGATATATTATATACTGTAGTAACATCAGGTAATATTCCACTTGTAAACTTACAGTAGGGATCAAAAAAATGTATTTCTGTTCACAGATGATAACAGTGTATCATTTGCCACTTTATTGACTTCTTGTTATTTCTGAAATATTTAATAAAGATTCTAAACATATCTTTCGGCAAATAGCTTGCAGTATTTAAATTTACACTGTATGAGTTATTATTGTATATACAATAAGAAAATGTATTATGTGATTCCAAACTTTTGAACTTCAGCGTAATTGTACAGAAAGTTAGTTAACCATGCAGCTTAATACAATGTACTTAAGAAGGAACATTTTTTGATAGTTTGAAGTCGTAAAAAACATTCCATTACTATTTATGCACATCTTAATGTTCGTAAACGGTTATGAGGAAGACATTTATTAAACAATTCAAAGTTTGGCTGCGTAAAACAAATAATAAAGTCACTGCTTTTAATGTAAGTACTCCTGCTCCAACAGCTGGCAATTGAGCCATTTCAACAGATCTGAATGCAAAGTAGCAAAGTGGCTACCCTCCACCCAAATTAAAATTTCAACACTGCCTACTATACAGTAATCATGCACAAAGGACATTACCAGCATGTATGAGAAACTGAGTCAGCACTGTATTAGGTGGTTATGTGGCAAAAATCTTGGTTTAAAGTGTGTTCAGATTATTCCAATTAAGACTATTACTTTCAATTCCACATCACACCTTTAGTAATTGATCATTGGGTGCCAAAGAATCAACAAAGAGAAGCCTGTGCAAAAGAGGCACTCTAAAAATGCTAACAGAGGCACAAAGCCATCACACAGAGCAAAGAGTTGAAATGGAACGGCACAGTATTACTTCATGGCTTCACTTATCAGTTCTTAAGGAAATACAGTATGAACAAGATGACAAGTAAAACATACTACTTTCAAACCAAAACAAAACACTAAATATTTAAAGTCTTAATATTTTATCTATTTTAGTAAGTCACAATACTTCATGGTCTATGTATATATCTTATTTACTTATTTTAATGGTAAGAAAAAGGATGGCAATTTCAAAAAGGAATCAACTTACCCATTCCAGTGGTGAGCTTCTGGTCCGAGTGTAGCCTGCCTGGTCTTGCATGACTGTTGTTCTCTGAGAGAACCTGGAAAAGCACAAACAAAAACATTAGCCATTCTATAAAAATAACATATGGACAAAAGGAAGAAGAAAACAGAAACTAAATATTTAGTTTAAAAATTATGCCTTTTCCAGACAGACATATGTTAATAAGCCGCATTGAAAACATGTTAGTGAAGACGGAACAAAGACAACATGAAGATAACATGGAAAATAAATGGATCATGCAACATCCCCATGGCCACAGAGTCCATTCCACAAAAGATATTTCACAGTAACAATACGAAGCACAAGACAAGGCTGAGGTCAGGGATGTGGAAGGGCATGAAGACAGACATGGCAACAGTTTGCAGAGATTCCACAAATCAATGCTGCACGACTTGAACCGAACACACACTTTCACCTGTGTTGAAAACAAAGGGAAGAACAAAAATAAGCTCACAGGCCTTTTTGTGTCTCTGCTGAAAATGTTAATTCAACAGTTTCGTGCAAAACCAAGACAAACTTTGGAATGGCTGGATCCTCTGATTTGATAGGGTAGGGAAGAGACCATGTGGAATCCAGTAAAGAATCCTAGGGACTGGAAGGGTGAGAGCTGGAGGTGGGATGGCGGAAACGAGACACAATGTAGTCCTATGAACCCACCCCTGCAACTACCATACCTGAGTTGCTTACCTGAGGCCCAGAGTAATCTCTGAGCAGAAAACAGCAATATTGCCAAGTCTAATAACACTAACAATACTACAGCTATAAGTGCCCAAAAGCTTATCTTATAAACTATTCAGAAGCCACAGAAGAATTAAGTTGGCAACACCATTGCTGCCATATTACAGTTACAGATAATCCTACCTATACCTAAGTGTAGGTTACATCATATATATCAACATTTAGAAGGTCCTTTTAAGCTTTAACTAATACAAGTAAATATGACTTTAAACAAACCTTTAAGATTATACACAAAACATTTTATGATTTCTTGGCAAACTGATTTAAAGCACAAGAACACTTAATTCTAATCATCACAATCAACGTTTATATGAAAAACCCACACCACACCAATATCATTAATGGGACACAGTCATTCAGGCCCAAGTCTGAGGTATTACCTTAGTCACACAAGTGTTGGGTGAAAAAAAAAATCCTTATTTTTAAGTTCCACTTAAACTGTTGGAATATAAGGATAAGAAATGTAGGAGGATCTAGCTACATTTCTCCTGGTGGAGGACAGTGACCAATGAGCATTTAAAGAGTGCCAAAGCAAAGATGGACTTCAGCTCTGGAAGAGGCAAGTGCCAGGCAACTGGAGGGACAAACATCCACCCAAGACAAAGATCGAGAAACCAATGCCACCAGTCCTACTGCAACCCAGAAGAAGGTAAAACTGTTATTGGACACTTAAAATGAAGCAGGTTGCAAAGGACAGCTAATGAGTCAGCAGATGAATGAAAAGAGCTACCAAGATAAAAATGGCAAAATGAGGCAGTACAGTAGGTAATCACAAAACACAATACTCCTCTTCTTTCACAGTGCCTCAACAGATTTGGTTGTTAATTTAGTTGCTTTAGCAGAAAGCAAAAGGGCAGAGGCCAAATGTAGATAGTGCTGAAGCGATTTAAACCCAAGCTCCAATCCCTAAAGAAAGTGAAAGTTACAGGCTGGATTATTTTGGCAAAGTTTTGTGATGTCACATTAAAGGCACTGTAAAGAAAAGGTGCTGATGGAAAACACATTACAGCAAAACATGGCAAACGCAGACCATTTCACAAAAGAACAGACATACCTCAAAAAAGGAATTCAAAAGCAATACATAACAGCATGTGGTCCATGAAAACATGAGACTTGTTTTAAGAATTATGACAATACATTTAACTAAAGAACCACAGACATCTAAACTTAAACTTTCAACTGTGTAAAGAGAATGATCTGTGGCTGAGATCTGCAGACATGCTATATAAACTCAGGATTAAACTAGTAGTAAGACTAAACAAGTCAGTTTTCACAGTAATACACCACACAACAAGGAATTAGGAGGGAAAAACATGTTACAAAATGATAAACATGCAACTTGACCCAAAATCCTCTGCTGTTAGTTGACACTACAAGAGCTCATGACACTGACTGAGTCTTAAAGGTAGGTTGTCAAATGACACAAACCAACCATTTCTCTTGAATTCCTCTTTACATGGAATGAAAAAACAACAAAAAAAAATCAAACAAAAACAAAAAAGTACTCTCTTTTGATTGATCTGCTGATTAGGTGTCCTTGCTGACTGCCGTCAAGTTTCTTGGGTGCGCATGAACAAGGAGTTAGCGGTTGTGAAGAATGAATTAAATTTGTAAAAACCTGTTGCCATGAGCCAAAAATACTGGATGTGAAAGCCAGTGATTTGGGGGAGACAGGGGAGGAAGTTATTTGGTCCCCTGATCTGCGTCTTCGACGCCCAGTACCAACACCACAGGTGTAATGTATCCAGGTACCAATTGACTCAGGGCTAGACACACTCAGGGGGCTTTCTTCCTGGAAGTGAGAGAGGGGGCAGAAACAGCACAGTCATGCAACATTAACAACAGTCCGGCTACGTGTCCCATCAACATTCACAAGGTAGCCCCTTTGTTTAAGGAGGACACAAAACGTATTTGTGGTCATACTTTTCCAGCAGAGGTCTTGATAAAGTCTGTCTGCAATGGGGACTAAAGAAGACAACAAAAATAAATAAAACAATAAATAAAATGCATTTTGGTGAAAAAAATTGTGAGATTTCAAAGAACACGTATTTGCCTTTTCCACTAACACTCAGTGACAACATTTTTCATCGGTAGCAAACTTTATGAGCCATGCTAGTCCCTCATTGATTACTATAATCTCTTAAACTGGAAGTTAATTCACAGCCCAGACAGAAACACAGAACCATCACTGAAAAAATGAGTTAAACCCTGAATTTAAAATGTAAGCCTGAGCAAATACTAGAATTAAAACTCAATGAAATTACTACATGAACACATACTGTGAACTCTATCATTCAATATATTTAAGATAAAAGGAATGTTTATTAATAATAAATGGATGTGTTGTACTCGCTATGCTATTCTGCTTTAAATAATAGCTTATACAATTAAAATGATTACGATTTTTATATTATTCTAGCCATAAAAAAAACAGCTCACTGTCAAAACAAAAGAAAAAAAAAATGTTCAGTGTAAATTGTTGTTTCTTTGCTTCTGGGCATGCAGGCTTGGATGTGGTCAAACAACTATTTAGTGTATAACTGTGGTGTAAATTTATCAACTTTGCACAAGATCAAAAAAAGAAAATACAACCAACAAGTCAGTCGTACAGAAAAAGGCAAACAAAATGACACCAGTTCAGACAGCTAAAATTGTGAAAAAAGCTCAAAGAAACCCTTTTTAGAAAGGAAATTATCACAGCATTGCAAAATTAGTGCAATGTATATGACATAACACTGTAAAACTGCAAGTCATTGCTAGCCTTCTCCACACTACTTTAACATGTTTATAGCAGCAGAATTACCATATCTGCATGTATACAGTTGACAATGACAAACTATGAAATACAGCAAATAAAATATATAGTATTTGAAGCACTTAAAGCAGCTCACATGCCTAGACATTTAAGTAAAACTATCAATACATCAAAGTTTTCTATCCAATAACATGCTTTTTACAGAAATGCTCTATGACATGCAATTTCTTCAATAAACAAATAAACAATGTATTGGGCACTTTGTTACATGCAACTTGTTAATATTTTGTGATGACTGTAGGCAAATCACTGCTAAATTCACTACTGTTGACAATTTTTGTGTGGAAAATTCCAAAGCAAAATTTCAGGGAAAAAGACATTTTTCTACAAAAGTCAGATAAAACTGTACAGTCGCAGTATAAAGAACAAGAACATTTTATCCTGTCCCTGCATTAAAACAAGATAACTGACATCAAAACTGAGCCAGATGCCACTTACTTCTACAGAGCCGATCTTTTTGGAGCGTGGAAGAGGGGATTTCCTGTGAATGTAGATGGGGTCAGAAACCATCGGCCGGAACATTACGAGGGCTCGGTCTGGCTCGTCCCGCTTCAAACCACTGGACTCCTCATCACTGTCATTCTGCGACTTTTTCTTAGAGCCTTCGTTCTTAAAAAAAAAAAACAAAGTGATGCAAGATCTCTTCACATACAGACACTTAACTTTATTTTTTCCCCCCATTATCAGTTTAGTACTGAAGTAGTTTTTATGACAGCAGGAAGCACAACTGCTCACAGATCACTGAATTCATGTAGTCAGTACATAAATTAGAAAAAATTAAAAACCATTTAAGCAGTTATCACGAAGTTTCTGACATTCACCAATGTTTTCTTACTTGGGATTTGTTCTTAGGTAAGGACAGAATCTACACATACTCAAGAGCTCAAAAGGTAAGAACAATTCTGCTGTTTAAGAACGTCATGAACTTCTTAGGATCTTTCTCAATAACAAATTTAAGAACAAACTTGGGAAGGCATTGGTGAATGAAGCCCTATATTCTTAATCCGGAAATCTACAGATCATTGTGTGGATCAACAAATATATAAATATATAATGAGACACAGACAGACAAACAGACAGATGTCTAACCTCTCTGGACGCTGGTCTGTAGCCAAATCCTGATGGCAGGTTTTTGTCTTCCTCACAGCCTTTCGCTCCTGGGCTGAAATGCAGCTCCACATGAAAACGCTCCTCTGACGAGGGGTCCTAAATCCACACAGCCACCGTTAGGTCACATGCACCACTAACTAAACCATCAAGATAAACCTACAAGAGCCATTTGCCTCATGAACTGTTACCTTGTTAGGGTCCTCATAAAGCATGATTACAATCTGAGTCATGTAGTTCAGCTCACTGACAACTTTGAGGTAGTCCATGGCCCTTTTCCACTGCTCATCTTTGGTCTCCTGGAAAATTATTAAAACAACCAATTAAAAACTAACAACTGCCATAATTCATCATATTATGCCGTGGTTACACTACATGATTTTTACCCTAATTTTAGCCCCTGTTCTCAGTCTGTTCTGGTTGGCTCTAGTCCTTAGATTTTGAGGTTATCGCAGTCGCTGGTTGGCAGAGAAAACTGAGTAGCACGTGAGGCGCACAGATTCAGATTTTTTTTGCCTCTTCATCAAGATTCAGACCATTTGGAGTACATAAAAGATCTGATTTTTTCAAGCCAACTCCGGACTTAATCTAGCAGTGACTTAACTATCTACATGTCCCATTAATGTGAAAATGCTAGATTACAAGCTAAGTAGTACATGATCCTGTCATTTAGTGTGTAATCAACAATATTTCAGTCACTAAAAAATAAATGGCAATAATCAGTTGAAATTTAAGACACTCAGTCATTTCGTAACGTGTTAAGATTTTAAGTCGTGTAGTATAACCAAGGCTTTAGACTACTAAGCAAAAAGTAAAACTAAGAAGTAAATTTTGATATGTAATGACATTATGTCTCAAATTTAAAAATGTCTAACATTTTGTTTTTTAAATAATTATTTGTCCAGAATAATGACATGAAAAATTTATTTCTTTGGAGGATTTAAGAAGGAAAGTATAAGATGGCCTACATCACAGAGGGCTCCATAGCGTAGAATTGAGAGGAGAGAGTGCACGTGACTCTCACTGGTAAAGTAGAGCCTGGTACGCACATGACGCTCAGGAGACATGACTCCTCTAGAGTACCTGCACAGAGCACACACAGACATGACATAAAGTGACTTAAATTACCTTCTACTTGACTTAAAATCATGCATCAACCAACCAATAAATCAGATCAATAAACGATTTTGATTTTCAAACTTTAAATGTTTGTGTTTTTGTATTGTAAAGAGAACATTCCTACAATACTCCTTACAAACTCAACAGGATAATTCAGAGTCATATGGAGGACAAAACAGGCCTCTGGTAGCGGCTTACACTGGGTGAAGCTTGTTGACAGTGTCATCGTCTTGTGTCCTCTGGAGGTCAGAACGGATCTTGCGGATGAGAGGTGTGCAGTAGCCTTTGGCAATGTCTAGCTTCTCAGCTTGTGAAATACCATATTCCTGTCAGGAAAAATTAATAACTTGCAATAGTGCTGCAGTATATACTAGAGATGTACTTACTAGAGATTTAATTTTGTAGTTTGAAGCCCCTTCAAAAGAGCTAGTCCAGATATCAGCTTCTACTATACAATGGTTTACTGAGAAGACTAGGTTAACTAACAGAGAAAAATTAGCTCACTTGTGGAATGACTATGTCGGCCAGAGCCTTCGAGAGGCGATAGATCTCCATGGTGTTGTCGAGCTTGAGCGAGCTGTTGTGCTGAACGTCGTATTTGATGCAGTCGTAGATGTCTGGGATCTTACTGATGTTGTAGCGGCCATTCTTCATCTTAAAGTCTTTCTCCAGTTTGGACCAGCGGCGCAGCATTAACTCCAGAGTCTCACTGTGGTACAGCTGAATGTCTGAGAAAGCAAACACTTTAGCACAACATGGACCAGGAATGCACAATGATCGTTATTTTTTTAATGGGAGGAACAGTTGTTTAGGCCCCATACCTGCTGATTTGGGGTCCTCCATCCTCTGCCTAATCTGTAGGGTTAAGTTCTGGATGAGGGAATACACCTTATCACACGTCTTCACTGGGTTCTTGATCATCTGCATGGACTTCACCAGGGATGTACTCGTTGTGGGAGCCAGCTATCAACAAACAGTAATACACATAGGAATGAAAACAGCAATCTGTGGTTTATGAAAAGAAAGAATCTATTCTCTCCTCTGAAAAAATTAACACGGAGCGGTTTTGAAAGCATATTTTTAAGGGTATGCTTGAAATAATTTTTCCAGTTAATTAATTTTCCCTGCTTGACGTGATGTGTAACCAAATGAAAAGGATAAAATGAAATCTCTTCAAAATTTTTAAATAAGCAATTTATTCTGGACCCAAAAACTGTGTTCAAAGCTGTGGCTTTGGAAGGATAAACCTTGAAACTTCTTCCTTCAATACCAAACATCTTCACAAATCAAATTCTTTTCAAAGACATCTCTTAAAAGCTAGTTCCAAAATGTTCACCGACCTTTTCGTAATCCTCAGATGCAAAGTCTCTGTCTTTTTGCAGGATCTCATGGAGCCTAGCTTTGACCCTCTGCTGGCAGCTGTTGAGAGAGTCGCTGTCACTGTCCAGCAGACCATTCATGTTGGCACTCTTGACCATCTGCACCAAGATGGGGGTCAGCTCACCCTCCAGCGCCAACAGACCCTACAGATACAATAACAACACATACACATGTACATGAAAAAGCTAAGCACAAAATATGCCTAAATGCAGGTACAATATGCACTCATAATGCCCCTTAAATTAATGTTCTGTTTACTAAGGCTGTAACTTATCACTCAAAGTGTGCACAGGACCACATACTAATGGGACTATGCTTGTGAAGCATAGCTTTAAAAGAGCAGTAAAAGAGTGGAGTCGTTAACAAGCTTGAGACAAAAGTAAAATGTAAATCAGCTCTAGAATGAGAATAATACAAACTGCAAGCGCACACTGTGGCCACAAGTCACATTTTGAGTTGCAACTTCTTATATACTTTCATCTGGGCCAGCCAGTGGAGAGAGCATTATTGTGTTGGCAAATAGGAGGACTGTCCCTCTGTCTTGCCGCTGTAACTGCTGCCACTGTTAAATAAATCTCCCAGTGACACATCTTTTAGACACTGCTGCTAATTTACATCTGGCTATAGGAGGTAGACAAAATCCATGCAAAACATGCTACCACTAGTTGTTTAAACTTGAAATGGACTATGTAAATGAACCACAATTTCAATATCTCCACCCATTTTTTTTGCATGATCCATCCACATTTTGCACGAGGGAGTCAAACACATTTTTGTACATACAGCACAATAATGCATGTGCGCAAATAGCTTAGTACTGTACATTCTTAACGTTTAATTCCACATAAAAAAGATACTCTGAAAAGCTCATTTTAACTGGCCTGAGACACCCAGATGCATGTGAAGAGTGATAGTAACTTGTAACATCTTTTAAAAGTCTGTACAAGAAGCACAGATCACTAGGGAATTGCACCTTGGCAAAGGCAGCTGCAGTCATCTGAACTCTGCCCTCGTCAGAAGCATAAATCTTCAAGTCGTGACGATACGTACTGTGCAGACGCAACAAGCCACACCCAGGAAAGCCTGCATAGTCGCCTGCAATAGACACATTTTGACAATATTATTTGAGGCAGAGAGAATCCTTTGAGCAAGCAACAAGCTTAAGAAGTATAAGAAAATGTTAAGTGGTTCCAGCTCTAAAATCTGCAAATAACTTGGCCCTATCTGTGCAGAACAGAGATGTACGAATATCACTTTTGCCCTTTCGATACTGAAACCTGATCCTTGAGCATCGGCAAAAACTGAGTAACAATATTACCTTTATCTAACCTAACCAGCTTATAAGTCCTGATATTTATACACTTCCACTTTTTAAATATTTTATTCAGGTAAAAGCTTGGTAAAAGAGAAACTCCAAATGATCATGGTACTCAAAACTGAAGTAACTCAGGTACTCAAAACATTAGTAGGACAACCATCAGTATCTCCTTCCTTTATGCAGGTCAGTATTTAGTATGAGTTTTGTATTCTGTTGCACATCTCTTCTTTTGGATGAATCTGGGCATAAAGTTAAATATAGCTGAAAGGAGGTACTTTTGAATATGATAAAACTAAATTTTCACATTAAATTAAATACAAAGATTAAATAATTAGAGGTGGCCCAAGACTATTTTTGAGCGCTCTATTTAAAGCAGCAGGACCAACACAATAATCACAGCCAAAAGTGATTCATTTTAATACATAATGCAGCCACAGCGGGTCACTGCAGAACCAATGTTTTTTCAGGCTGTGTGTTAACATGTCTTTTGTCAGTGCTCACGGAACAATCAACAGGATGTCTGCAAATTGCCAGGCAAATTCCCCTGGCTCAAGACCACTTGTTTGGTGAGCTGTGAATGAAGCACTGGGACCAGGCCTACTGCTTAGACAGACCTTACGCTCTTTGACAAACATGCAACTGCAGCCTAAAAATCCCTGGTAGTGCAGCTGCTGTTGTGGCTGTACCTTGTCCTCCTGGGTACATGCACCGAAACGCTCGACCCAGCTCCTCCGCCTGAACCCTGCCTGCCGGAGTAAGCTCCCCACCCCACTTCAGCACCAGCAATAGGGACGGGTCATCCCTCCGCATGTCTGAAAGCATACACAAAGTCACTCTTTAACTACAACTAGAACTGCATGTAATTACAACCAAATGGACTACAGACACAAACTAACATTAGTCACAGTATCGTTGTACACAGAAGTGCCAGATTCAAAAGGTCCGCAAGGCGTAAGAAAGCTCTTACCTTCCTCTTCACTTGACGTTTTTGGGCAACCATGGGGTAGATATGTTAGTTGCACCTTTCGATTAATACCTGAAAAATGGCCATACCTGCAACAAGATGCAGAAAAATGTGAGTATTACCTAAAATATAATAGTTTGACAGCCATACAAATCTTAAACAGAGCTCCACTTACATCTCTAGGACGGTTTTCAGTTGTTCAAGTTTGGCTTTGCTTTCTTCAATTTCTGTATCATTATTCTGCCCAAGTTCAACCAAAAGTTGTCTAGCAATGTCTAAAACTTCCTGTTGAGATGAAAACAAAATAAAACAATATTCAAAGTTTGCACCAGATAATAAAGGTAAACACATGCCCATTTGATAACAAACCCTGAAGCTCTGATTTCTTTACCTGAAGTTGCTTTGGCTTTTTCAGTTTTATCTTTCCACTTTTGTACCCTTCGTATTTTTCGAAAAGATCGAAAAATCTAAAAGAGACAATGAACAGGAGGATAAGCATCCCCATTCCACTCCATAACAAAAAATGCAATTCTAACACAGCAATGTCCACTAGCTGAGCCCCGGTGTAAAGGTAAATGGCAATGATGATAACAGCTCCATCAAAGACAGGCTACACAATAGGACTGCCACTAGCAACACAAACTAAACATGGTGATCCAGCACAGACTACGACGAGTAAATTCAGCACCTTTGATGTCGGACCTCCATTTTCATTTTTTGCTTGGGGGTTCGATCTCCATGTCGAATCACAGCAATCACACACCGCAGCTCCATCCTAACAAATTTCAAATAGAGTAGTAAGGCGAGGGTAACGAATGCTTCTGAAATACTCCAAATGGAAAAAGTTCCAATCAAAATAAGACCTTAGAAAGTTAGGCAGAATGGTAAACATGCTGTTACTGCCTTTGAAATACTCTTGATCACTGCATTCCTATAGCAATGGTTTTCAAATGTTTCTATTACTGCAATAATAAAGTGCCTTGCAGCATGCTATTAAAAAAAGAACACACATTGTCCCTGAAGTGGTGGGAACTATGGGAATATCCTCTGCCTCCAAAGGGATGGACCATGGAATCTGGAACTGCGGAGCAAGTTCTCTCATGACAATATTCCTGAGGAAAAAATAAAAAGGAACATTACAAACCCTGGTATTCATATATCATCACCGAATAATCCTGTGCAGGTAAAACGAGGTAACGTTTCTGAGATTAACATTGTATAACATAATCCAGTTGTCCTTTGGGCAGGCTGATTGTAGTGGGCTCCAGAAATTGGGACTTCACAGGCAAACTACAAACTTGACCCAAGAAATGATCAAACCCTGACTAAAATGACACTTAAGGTTAATGTAATGTCTGGAATTAAATGGTTGTTGCAGGTCAAGAGAGCATTTTGAGATTCACACTATGTGATCAAAACACATATCTGAATAGAAATCTGTATTAATTCTTTGTTTAAAATGGGCCTAGGATTAAATTCGCAATCCAGGGTCAATTGTGTCATGCAAGTTACAAATAATAAAAGCCTTTGTAGTACAAAGTCCCATGTTAATATAGTGGAAGGCAGAAATCCAATAAAAACAGTATAAACCCCCCACAGATTTTTGAGACTAGACAGCTTAAAAAGCAGCTTTTGTAGGCGATGATTTAATTGAAACATAATTATAACTTCCTATGGGGCATTTGGCCACATTCACACAGTGAGAGAAGCAAAGCAGAGCCTTCTTTCCCCTGAACTTTGTGAGGTATTATCCAGTTAAGCACCTACATGATTACATGGATATGTGAATAAAACATCCCCCACTGAGGTGCTGCTGTCAAGTTACTGGGGAGAGCCCTACTACTTCTGGGAATCAGCTACAGCTGGCTGGAAATGGAAGGAAAAAAAGAATTTCCAAGCTATTACATGCACTCCTACAACCTAATTTTTTTTTTACTTACCCTAGTATTTTTGCACAGTCATCATAGTACTTCATGGAGTTCTTCACAAAGCTGAAGCCGTTCACATCACAGACATATGACTGGCCGTTGGCACGAAGCAGGTCAAACCCACACACTGTTTGCTGTCAGTAAATAAGGTAGACATAACAAGTCGAAGTAAGTAGAATAACAACACAGTGAGTACTTCACTGTTTACACTGTTTAAGTAACACTTACCCATGAGGGCAACAAGTCAAGGTCTTGTCATTGAAAGTAAAAACCTTAGAAATAAGATCTATATTTTACAGTGTGTAGTGATGGTTGCAATAGAGAGCTTTACTGCGGTCATTTGCAATATGCCTGTCTCCATGTCACAGTGCAACACCTCCAGGCACAATATAAAGTGGGATTCAGTGGGATTCGCCCATTTGCTGATTGGTTCTACATTTATGTTGATAGTTTAAATGGACGCCAAATAAATGAAAGCATTGCACAATTTTAAATCCACCACTCAATAAATGTCAAAGCTTCAATCTAACACCAATTACTAAATATTAAATGGCACTGATAACAAGGAGAGAGTAGCTGGTTAGCATTAGCTTAGCTAGCATGCTGCTAGCTCTGCTCGCCACAGAACAGGTTCAATTCTGATTAATAAAAGCTTTACTGACAAAGATTTAGATAATAATGACTCAAATCTGAGGAAGCGAAGTGGCTGAAGTTAGAGGAACAGAAAGCCAAAATGAAACCTCTTCTTTGGTGTTTGGAGCCTCCTAAGCTAATGTTTTCCAAACACCCCAGAACTAACCGGTGCTCTGCTATCACAAGTCTAAATGATAAAACTTGTAACAGCGAGAGCAAAGTCAACTGATCACGCTGGAATGACAGAAAGCTGACAGACCTGGTCTGTAGTGCTTTAAGCTGTAGTCTGCTAGGCTAATCTAACGTGAGTGTACGGTGCCTCCCACCACAGTACGGTGCTAATGCTAGTGTAGTTAGCCAGCTACAGGTGAAATGCACTGCAGCACAGACTGATTGATGCTCCTGGAGTTGGAAAGACAGACGGAATCTAACGTGTTTTGTGGTGGACTGTGTGCATAGCTATTAGCCTGTTAGCCACTCACTCTTATTTCCTGGTTCTGATTTAGCGGTACAACACACGGGGTCTCATGAGTCCGGACCAGCACAGTATGGCCCTGAAAACCATTTGGCCCGACAGTGGAAAAGAGGCCAAAGAGAGCAAAGATAGTTTTCATAGCACTACGGTTAGTTTTCATAGCACTACAGTCAGTTACTGCGGTGACACAGCTGTTCTGTGATAAACACTGACACAGAGTAATCCCACAGGGCCATGAATTATCCAGTGTCCACGCACTGCTAAGTGCACGCTTTGATCAAGCTCAACTCGATAATGACTCAATAATGGGTTTAAACATTTTTATAATGGGCTCAACTGCTCTGAGGTCAGTGCGGTCAGTTTTCCACCCTGCATTTACCTTAAAGGCCAGGCAGACTTTCCAGGCTATTAGCTTTTCTCTGGCATTGAGGATAACAGGGTAGCGAACCTCTTTTCCTTCACTGTCTCGCTCTACCTTTCCATCCAAAGCAGGAGACTTGCGGGCCTCTGCATGGGCATAGTCTGGGCCCACTGTGTACACCTGGAAGCATAAAGACACAATGAATAAGGGAGAAATGTTTCAGAGTGTGGAAGTGAATAAGAGTGTATGTGTGCAAATACCAGGCAAAAATAAGGCTAACCTACAATGTCAGGATCAACAAAATGGTCCTGACTTAGTAAAGTACTTTCTACAAAGCCTCCATTTTTAAAGTTAAAAGCAGTAGTGTGCACTGTACAGTAAAGTACAGTTCATACAGTACACCGACAGGAATTCCAAAAGGGCCTATATAATGGAAAAACTACTTTTCCTGACTTTTGTTTAATAAAAGAGTTTTTATTTTAAAAATGTAACATGTAGAATGTAAACATCATTTAAGTTTCAAAACATACCATTCACTCCCCAGTCCATACAAGGAAATTAAACTGCAAAAATATCCTGTTTTTATTCACCGTTGTCACGTCACAAAAACCAACACATTTACATGTAGCTATGTGTTCATGCTGAAGTTATTAGGAGTGCTTCAGCATGATTTTTTTTTTTTTTGAAAGAAGCACAATGCAGAGCGAAGGCCATTTAAACATATCAGTCTTAAAGGCACAGTAACTAAAACAACTAGTTTAAATCTAATTCATATATAGAGGTTAGAAAATGGTCATATAAAATTAATTATGACTGCTTTTGGTACATAAAACCACAAAAAGCAAAACTCTTGTACTGCCTGCAGTGCCGCCTTTCTCGGTCAGCTACATCAGACAACACCATGTTAGAGGAACTTGGCTCTCACAACAAGCCCAGGCTCTAAAGCTTGTCAGCTGCTACTGACAGCATAATATTTACCAAATTCCAGCAGTGGCTGACGGATGTAGATGTAAGCACGAGCATCTTGGAACCAAATATGAGAGAAATTACTTCAGGGCATGCTTACGCATATGTTTATCTACATATTGTTCAGTTCTGTTTTTTCTATTTTGTACAATAAAAATATTACAATTTACTTGTTAATATAGTTCTAATAAAAAAATTGGAACAATATGTCACTATTAACCTAAAAAATAGGTTTACTTAAGCATCTAAAACGATTTACATTGAAAAAAATATGTACATTTAAACACATTACACCATGAAATATCAAAACTGTTACTGTTACACCATGAGATTAATTTTTAGAAATACAGCTCACTACTAGCTAAAAAAAATGCAAAAACATTTCTTTTTGGTTAATATATATGTATGAACCCATGTCCAGACAGCTTATAAAACAAACCCAAGTGTGTGGATGCTTACAGGTGTACAGTCAGAAAATTGGCCATGCTTGACAAGGCAGTCAAGGGCATATTACATGACTCCAGGGCTATTGTGTTGTGCCGACTGCTACAAATCAGTGTAACTTGATTCCAGACACACTGTGAATACTGACAATCTTTTCAGCTTTGTCAGCTTAGTTCAGCACCCAGCCCTGAACACTCCTGACACAATCACAAAGACTAACAAATATAGACTCTAATACCTTCACGTCTGTCCCATCTGTAGGCATAAACTCCTCATATATGTACGAGCCTGTTTTCCGGACACTACTCTCAGGAGAATAAACACTACTTCTGCTGCCAATCTGTAATGAAGACAGACACAATACTTAGACAGAATTAGCCATTGACTAAGTGAGGGCAGAGACCATTATATTTATTATAAATAAGCCTGTGGACGGAAGAGAAAAAAGTAAAGTTTGTTTCAATACAAAGGTATTAGGTGAGTTAATAGAAAATTGATCTCTTTATGTCATGAAAAGCAGATAATAGTTGTTTGTGCACAAGTGTGTTTTAGAGCATCCAAGTGTTCTAACCTTGCGGAAGAGTCTCTGGCTGCCTCCTCCTGCAGAGGTGGGGTAGTAGATATAGACGTTGTGGTCCTCGGCACTCACTGGCTTCTCCACAAAAGGCTTCTGGAAAATTTCTCCGTTCACCTCCACATGGTCCTCTCCTTCAACCAAGTTACATTCTACAACCAATCACATAAAAACACCAACGGAAAATAATCTATATGTTGTATGTTGACAGAAATACACATATGAAAAGCTGCACCATTATTTTATTTATTACTACTTTTCAGAGACAGTTTTGCTTTCTTACAGCTCTACTTGTCAGCACTTTCTATAATAATTTGGACCTACATACTTTTGACTAAAGCAATTTTAAGACTGCTGTCTGTTCTAGAGATCAATAATAAATTAGCACAGAGTGATGTCTTAAGGTGGCTGAGGACACAGACAGCTTCTTATTGTTCTCTTACTTCAATGCAATGTCTATCATTATCTGTGCAACAGAGAAAACAAGACTAATCTTCTTAAGCCAGAGGAACTTAATCGTTGCAGTTGCTATCCAAAATGACGTCATTCAGTGTCATACTTAGCTTTATTTACCATTTGAACACCTCTTTATTGGAAAAATTGTAGAGCATTGCAAGAGGTAGGTGTGTGTGTGTGTGTGTGTGTGTGTGTGTGTGTGTGTGTGTGTGTGTGTGTGTGTATGTGTGTGTGAGAGAGAGAGAGAGAGAATGTGTACGCCTGTGTCTGCTCTGTGATATACTGGCGACCTGTCCAGGGTGTTTCCCATGAATGCTGGAATAGGCTCAGGCAATCCCCGCAACCCAGGAGGATAAGCGGAAGTGTGAGTGAGTGAGCATTGTGAGACGACACTTGGTACCGATATCAAAGTCAAAAGTCGGGTAGCAAGACAACCCCAGATGCAATCAGGTCAGGCATCTGAGCCAATTTTATAGGGCCAAAGAATAGTTGTCAATTCTTGTTGACAGCAGAAATATCAGCTAAATGCCCTTCGCTCTGGTCTCAGGGATAGTCTATTAATAGTAACAGCACAGAGCTGACAGCTTGAACAAAGTGCTGCTAGACATTCTGGCTCTTCAGTTACAGCAAGGCCTACAACTCCATTCAATCAGTCCTTACTGCCCTGTCACAGGACCAGGCCACTTTCTAAAAGGTCTCCCAGAAATGTTCATGTTTCAAGCAACAAATAAAAGCTAGAAAGGGACAAACTAAATTATGCAAATGAACGGCAACAACAGACTGTGCAAGATGCACATACAGTCATATGCAAAAGTTTAAATACTCCCAGGCAGATGACATGGTTTGTTGGTTTTCTAAGTGAAAATAAATTTATTGAGAACAAACTTATGGCATTTTTCTCCATATTTTTTACTTACTGACAAACAACACTGTGGGTTTACAATTGTGTGCTGGAATGCATGCAAATATCTATATCTGAAATAACCTGAAGTCTTAAATGAAATGTAAAAGTTTTAACATGCATAATATACGTTTTATTTTACTTCAGATAATCACATAACACTGGTGCAACTACAGAAGTACTAGGTAAACTGCACAATTTTGGTTAGCAATTTTGGAGAAATACTTCTTTAACACCCCCTCCCCCACGAGAGAACAGCAGAAATACAAGCTGGCAGGTGCTTACTAAATACACCCAGTACTAATTTTGAAACCATGGGAGGGTTGTTCTGGGTTGATATTAACAGTGTCTGTGAAGCTTGTAGAGAAGGGAAGCAGCACTTTCTCACTGCTTCTTTTGTGCTTGTGAAAAACACAAATGAAAAATGCTTTGAGACATCATGTAGGAAACAGCTGACAGTACTGTCATCAGGGCTACAGGAACATTTCCTCATATTCCACTTAATTCAATATTCTTACATAACAGATCTTTACAAAAAGGATTTAAATTCGAATGAGCGGATGTGAGTGGAGTGTTTCAGCACCATCAGCCTGCACACGGAAGAAAGGAATAGCAGACCAGGCTGCATAAAAACTGCGAGGGGAGGTGGGGTTGGAGTGAGTGAGTGAGTGAGTGAGTGAGAGAGAGAGAGAGAGAAAGAGAAAGAGAGAAAGAGAGAGAGAGAGAGAGAGAGAGAGAGAGAGAGAGAGAGAGAGAGAAAAAGAGCGAAAGAGAGAGAGAGAGAGAGAGAGAGAGAGAGAGAAAAAGAGCGAAAGAGAGAGAGAGCGTGAGAGAGCGTGAGAGAGAGAGCGAGAGAGAGAGAAAGAGAGAGCACGAGAGAGAGGGAGCGAGAGCGACTGCTTCATTAGTGAAACCTCCCCCTCCCCTCAATCAGCACAAGAGAGGAGCAATAAAAGCAAAGCTGAGGGAGAAGAGACATAGATTAAGAGACACTGAGTGAGAGTGAGAGAACTAACAAAAGACAGAGTTCTTTCTCCCTGATGATGTGACAGATGTTGCCATGGCGCTAGCACTGTTACCATGGACACAGGGAGGACTGACTGGCAGGACCTTTAGACTTGAGCCTGCTGTAACCCAGGGGGTGGAGGGGGGGGGGCAGTCTTTTGGACCAAGCCAAACAGTGACCTCCTATTTCACTCTCTCTGATTAGTGTACTGAGTCTTTTCAGACTGCCATGAAATTTTTTGACGTGGTATAGTGTGTGTCAGGTCATCAAAAGAAAAACAGGCACCAACAATTTTACACTTAGAAAGAGCAACTTGCAAAGACAAACATCAAACCAAAGCTGGAACTGACAGAGAGGAGAGAGGACGAAGGAGTGCCACCAAAAAGGCAAACTCAGTGATATTCTATGAAAGGCCTCCACTGCCAGTCTGTTTAAGTCAAACACTCAACACGTTTTCCATGTCCTCACCTGCTATATACAGTATGTAAATACAATGGTTATCAAATCATTTTTCTGTGAGAAACATCACTGTACTAGTCTCACAAATGGCTCTTTTTTGAACCCCTGAGACTGTATTATAGACAAACATGTACAAACCCTCTGGTCTTGCTGGGTCTCTGTTTAGAACAGCATAGCGTGGAAGCTGGATCCCCTCAGCTTTTAAGATCCGATACACCTCTCTCCTGCCAACGGAGAGACAATCAATAGACAGAAAAGTTGACAAATATGTAACAGTATTTTTGTATGAGTTTAGGATCAAGTTGTTTTACTTTACAGAAAAACAAAGTATATCAACATACAATCTGTACACTTCAAACTAAACTGAAATTAAGCTACAATTTAAACATACAAGCACTAGACATATGTTATGACTATGAGCCATATTCTACACTTGTCTTGCATGATCATTTGCAAAGTACGTTTATGGCATATATCCATTTGTGATGTATGTGAGTTTATGCACCATAATTTACTGTTTTTTAATGAACAGTTGGCTGTCTTGTTCTACGGCTCATTCAAAAAGCAGTCTGGGTTGAAACATTCATAACTTCAACTCGGATGGGTGGAGCTAATCTGCTGTAGGCTAAATAAGAAGATGTACAATCGTATGCAAAAGCTTGAGTCAAATTACATGTTTCGCTACAAATAACACATCTTGTATAGGGAACACACTACACATTTTATTGCAAAACTACTGTTTATTTACTAAATTCAACATATAAAAAAAAATAAATAAATTAATTAAAATTACCGAACATAAAAAGAGAATATGTATAATTCAGTAAATAAACAGAAATTGTACTCTGAAATCCGCAGAAAACCACCATATTTACAGTTGTGTACTTGCGTACAAAACATGTAATTTGACCAGAGATATCCAAACCTTTACATACGTACGTGTATGGGTTAAACGTCATCACAAAAACAATTCATTTTAAAATGTCATGTTCTGAAACTTTACCAATGTTTACATACTACATTAAACTCTTAAAAAATAAAAAAAAATAAAAAAAATAAAAAAAAACTGAGGGAAAAAAAACGTTATATATACCCTTTACAAAATACACGTAAAGTACAAGCAAATAAAACTTAAAAAAATAAACTTTCTCATCTTGAAAAGCAAGAACAAAGCCTGAAAGTGTAAAATTTCAAAATATAAACCATATTAAACTTTGCTTTCTGTTGTATTTTTTTATAAACATGCCATCAGCAGTCTTGGTAGTGGTCATGTGCCTCTGCTAAATGGATTACAGGTAAATGCTGCCATCACAATCATGTTACATACCACAGCAATACCAAATGTTCCCACTGTTAAACAAATCTTACGACTGTCTCAAAAGGTAACATGGTCAAGCCTCATATTGTTCTTAGCACAGTTTCTGTTCTTAGTGTTGCATCACTGGGATAGAACTCACCTGTCCTGAATGCAGTACTGTAGATCCAGATCATTGATCACAAATGGATTCCTAAGCTTCTCATATGCCACAGCTTTATCCAATGGAAATCCTTAAAGAGGTAATAAAAGACAAAAACGCAACCTGTTATATTAGTATAAACTTCGAACATAACTATCCTATTTCAGTCCATGTAAAACTGCCTCTTAAAAAGCTCTTATAAAGCTACAGTTACATGAAGTACAAACAAGGCCTAGTTTAAGATAAACACTAGTCAGAGTATCACTTGCTTTACTTCTTCACATTTAGAGACACTTCTTTCACATGTAGAGATTTAAGCCTCACATGTAAAATTAATTCACACTTTCAACTAACCTGCAAGAAAAAAAAAATCTGAAAGTCTTTTTTAACCTAACTGCAATACTCTGCATAGTCTTTTTGCTCTGAAGGTTTCCCAGCACTAAGAAACATGTAACCACCAGGGCAAGTATCATGTCTTGTTTGAACAACCTTTCACCAGCTATTTCCTCTTGTCCTGTTTTCTGCTCTCACTTATGACTGAATTCATTGGTACAATGACAAAGGCATCACCATTTGCTTAGTAACTCCCGGATATTAGGCTGTGCAAAAAATAATAAATCAAAGAACAAATATGTATATGTATATACATATACACTGACCAGTTTATAAGGAACACTATTCTAATAACTGGGTAGGACCCTCCATTTGATCTCAACAGAATCTGAGTTCTTCATGGCATGGATTCAACAGAGTGCTGAAATCAAGTAACTGCTGCAGATTTGTCAGCTTATTACAGTGCAAAGGTTTCAGGAACCTGAGAAAATTGAACTTACTCAAGAAGCAGTTTTTGGACAGTGTGTTTATATAAATATTACAAATAAAATTAAAATACAATAAAAATAATGCTAAAATAGTCAGCAGTGATTTTACATACTGTTGCTGTCGAAACAAAACTTTGTCCTTTTTTTGTTTGTTTGTTTGTTTTTTTACATAATACATAATAATGAAAATGCTAGCTGCCCTTAACATTCAAAGTCACTTTGAAGTCAAAATATCATGATGTACAAACCAAGAGAAATGGTCCAAAATGATGCAGAATGAAATCTTATTACATTAAATTACATTGAAAGTTAAGAATGTTTTCACCTTCTTGTATAAAGCTACTTTTTTCGGAGATCTGTTATGACAGCAACAATGTCAAATTGTTCATTGCATTTACTCTAACGTTATATGGTGTTTATACAAGCACAAACACACATACACATTAAATCATGTGTAAGACCATGTGTGTGTAGAGGTACAAATAGGTGACAAATTATAGGAAAAATCAACATAACATCTCTTAGTAACATGTGGGTCCAGCATTAACCACCAATATGCTTAAAGGAGCAATATGTAATATATTTACTGTACTAAGTCAAGTAGAAATACTGGCTTCTCTAACAACAGTGCAACAGCCAGTACGTTCTCCTCTGAAATTTCCGTTCCGGAGCAGAAAGTCTGCTTGTGTTGTGGCCTGTGATCCCGCCCACTGCCCGTTTTCCAGGACTGTTTCAACATCCTGGGTTGCCAGATATGAAACACACTGGCAGGCAAACACAGCGTAGTGCAGCCATGGAAGCAAGCAAATAAGCTGGATCCCAACATAAAAAGCCTCTGCATCCTTCTAAAAAGTCCCATGACCAGAACCATAGTAAATCAAGAGTAAATACCGGCAAAGCATTTGAAAGATGGAGACAGTCCAGAAGCACTTTAAGACAGATGCTAAGTTCGCTAATTTTCTCCTTTAGGTAAGCACTGAGCTACAGCTAAATTAGTTAAGGTTGGCTAACTTTATCTTGGCTCCTAGTAGGAACGGGCGTTTTTGTCATTTTAAAATCCGAGTACTCAGATTCATACTCTGTGGTCCGTGTGCAGCTAAGTTACCTACCTGAGGCACTGCTGGTGGAATGGAAAAATTCAAACAAAAAAGCTGGCAATTAGGCTGAGGGACCAGAAGGTAACTGCTGCACTATTTAAGGTGGAAGGGGGAAATTCAAACAAGAAGCTGGCGAATAAGAAGCTGACTTAAGAACTTGAATTTAGATTTCAGTATCCATTTTAAAAGCTTGCGGTCAATATTACATATTGCTTCTTTAAATATGCTTTGATACAAATTCTAACATAATAGATTCATCAGACTCCCTCACTGTAGGGGTCAGGCATTCAGGCCTGTACCATTCTCTTAGTGTATGCACACAGTCACTTGTACACTTGGGGAAAAGCTTGGGAAGAATGACTCATTTGACTGATCATTTTTCCCCACATCTCTGTAGACCAGTGCCTACAGTTTTTACCCCCCTGAACTCTCAAATTCGTGTTTGTAATGGGAGGCTTATAAACTGCAGCACTACTATAATAACCCTTTCTAAAGAAACAACTACTCCTTGTTTTTCCCTACGTACTGCATAAATGCATAGGCATCACAGTCCTTGAATGCAAGCTTTCTACCTATTCCAACCCTATTTACTGATGTCTTTCCCACAGACGTATATGTGGATATCACTTTAGTCACAGTTTGTCACAGTCACACCTGTCTATGCACAAAGTGACATTAACGATAAAACTGTATAATAAAAATTTGGCTGTCACTATCGATTACATTAGTAATCAGGTAATTTACCAGTTATTTTAATAACTGACGAGTAATCCGAATTTTAAAACAATCTCAAACAAAACTGGATTAACTGAACACCAACAAACCACACACACCTTTCAAAGATTATAAAATACTTTAGTGGAAAAATGGATGAACTAGGAAACCTTGAAGGGATTTCATGCAGTAATTTCAGTAATCAAGTTTAACTGAGTAGTCATGATAGCCCTATAGACCTAAACAGTAATGGTTTTTGTCTGGCTGTCACCCCATTAATGCATGCAATGTGTGAATGAATTGTAAAAGTGTGCAAATGACAAAAGATTTCATGCCACTCACCTTTGGAGTGGAAGGAAATTAGACAGTCACACAGTGGCCAGTTCTCCACAGGCTCGTTAAGGATGACTTCTTCCTCGAAAGTCACCACAGTGATGTACTTAAACAGACACAAGCGCTCCAGGATTTCCTTCATAGGCTTGGACTTGGACTTCTTGGCCATGGCACAGATACCCACCACTATCTGTCTCTCTGGAGGCTGCAGTGTGGAGAAAACACAGCACTAGGCATTTTGCCAAGCACTTCAAGCTCAGCTGCTGGCAACATGATTGTGAGGCCAGCCACTGTCAGTGTCTGCTCTTTATGCCACATTATGTCAGCATAAGAGGCAACCGTATACTGCCAGTTAAAAATCTTTGCACTCAGGTGTAATGTACTGGGCTTTGCCAAATGTTTTTGGATATAGTTATAAATCAAGAGGGTTGGTCAACACACTTCAAGCACAGTACTGCTATCATTTAATGGTATATTTTTATTTAATGAAATATTTTAAATTAACTGAACTCTGCGAAGACCACAAAATGTAAAATCAGAGACCAGCTCTATAATTCTAGGCACAGACTTTATGTAGTTCCGTGACAAATACAGCTAGACAGGTAAACGCTAATCAAACACATCTTTATATTTGAACCACAAAAATTACTGTATACTTGCAAATGCCAGCTGAATCTTTACATTTTATAATGAATGGACCAACAGAAATAGTCCACCATTACTGAAAGTTACAGTACAGTACTTAAATTACAGAATGTTGGAAAAAACTCCTGAAGCTAATATGTCCTTAACCTACTATTCTGAAGATATACGGTTTAGCTACAACAGTGACTTTATAGCATATACCAGCTCCAGAAACTCCTCAACCTACCGAGTCATACTCTTCCTCGTCTGCGTCCTCATCTTCCTCTTCCACGTTCTCATAGAGGCAGTCATAGCCCAGCACTCTCCCTGGGTCCAGTAGCTCCTCTCCCTCTCCGTCATCAGCACCCACGAAGAAGCGCGGGTGATCCGCGTCCTCGTTCTCCGACATGTCGTCCCTGCACGAGGAGGCACTGTCTGCCTCGTCTTCGCCGCACCACAGCACCTACAGAGTGTCTCCCGCCGTCCTGTGCTCCACACTGTGCCTCCGGGCCTGCAGGTCAGTGCACTGAGCAGGGCAGGCAGAGGCGAAGGGAGCTGCTCCCAGCGCAGGCTCATAGACCAGCGGGGTTAAAGCTGCTGAGAATCAGCCTCTCTCCCCCCTTCCTGTTCTTCAGAGACAGCCATCAGGACGAGCTCCCCTTTAATAGAGAACAAAAAATCCAAAAGCAAATCCAAATGAGAATGTTTCAGGGCATCTACAGGTTTCGACGAATTAAATTTAAGACTTTCAAACAACGTTTTAATTCTGTAATACCATAAAACATTTTCTGGAACTAAAAGAGTGTGTAAACACTGTAAAACAGCATGTAACCAAATGAACAAAGGTTTAAGTGGACCAGGACCTTAAAATAAAATAAAATAAAAATAGACAGTCCATTTAAGACAAATAGTGCAATAACTATGTTTACATGTTTGTTATATTTAAAGCTACATTATGCAAGTTGTGGGGATGTGAAGACCTCTGTGGTAGAAGAGTGTAATTGCATGCAACGCGCAGAAGAATATTTCGTAATGACACTTCGGACACCTCCCCTGAGCAGACGAATCCATGTTCAAAGCGAATTCAGTCAGAAATTGGTGAGCAACATGTCTCTTGGCGATGTAAGTAAATTATCTACTACTGTCATATCTTTATCAGTGCAATTTTATTTTTGCATTTGAGACCTAAACATTGAGCCAGGCCTTCTTTTTGAGTCTCTGCATGCGACGTTAATACATAAAGACATATGACATGGTCTGAAAACCAATCCAACACCCTTGACTTTTAAATTATTATTTCAGGCTTGCAAGGCAACTCAGAGCAGCACACGGACACCATATTTTAGCATGTTTTTTGTTTCTTCAGATTCAATTTTAACCAAAAAAAACATCAAAAGCAGCTTCAAAAGTTTCAAAATGTACCATGCACTCCCCAGACCCTACAGTTCATATATTTAAACTAAGCTACAAAGAGTTTATTCTAAAGTCATAATTTTAGATATGTCAACCAACATATCTACATATATCCATCTATTCAATCTGCAGCAGTTTATTCTCACAAATTCACACTGATGTTACAACAAGTGTTTTAACCCAAACTGCTTTGTGATTGAGGCACAATACAGGGCACACAATCAGAAGAGAGGTCATTTACATTTAACAGTCTCAAAGGCACAGTAACAAAAACAGCCTGTTTAATTCTAAGGGATAAAGAGCTTGGAAAATAGTCATGTAAAAACACAACAGCTTAAACCTGTACAAACAGCACAAGTAAGCCTCAGGGGGAAAAAGGCATGAGCCTTTGAAGACAATTAGAACAACAATAATAGGAAGTTTATGAAGTAATAATGATGATGAATCTATTAGTAAACAGTACAAGAATAAAGACCCTTATTATTGAACATGAAACTTTGGCAGCCATTTTGGGTGCATATTAACCACCTATATGGATAGTTAAATGTGTGGCTGAATGGTCAAGGATATTGTTTTGATGTAACAAATTAATGAAAAATGTGACTCATGAGTAACGGTAGACATTTGCTTCAAAAATGATCAGCACTGAACAGATGTTTGGATTGGACAGAACTGATATTTGTGATAAAGCGTTTGTATTTGATTAATTTTTATGCATTGGTAAGCCTATAGAAATAAATCCTATATTTCTCCTTACTGCTAATCCAGGTAGACACAGTCACAATTCCAATATTTGCGTGCATTTATGTATTTGTATCTGCATAAATTCAGCTTGAAAGAACAGGAATCAGAAATCCGCTTAAAAGAACCACAGATATGCTTATGTTTGTTTGCTATCTCTTTTGAACGCTGTGTTCTTGTTTGCAGTGTGATTTGTTTTTTAATCACTATGTGGAGGGCACTACCACAGATATGCTCAGCCCATCACTGCAAATAGAGAGGAAGGCAAAAAGCATTTCATACAGATTAAAGGAGACAGTTTCCAGGACCTATTTAAGAAAATGACTCTGGAGAACTTTTCCTCCTGCTTATCAGATGTGGCAGACTAATCTCTAAGTCATTGTGACCTGGGAGGTCAGAAATTCCACTGTGATGGTAATATGAACATACCAAACAGGCTAAGCATGTGTAGAGAAGTCACAAGAGATGGAGCACTAGTGCCAAGAGTTGAAATCAGCTTTGTTCACAATGTTCTAGGACTAGGCATACATTAAAAGGCATGAATGCAATCGTAAAGGGGAATTCCACTGATATTTTAAACTTTCCCCTTAATTCAACGACTCAGATGTAAACAAAGTCATTAAGAGTGGGCTGATTTGAAAGGTGCCTTTCAATAGAAACTTACAAAGTCAGAATTGTTTACAGTGGCGGTGATGGGAATCAGATGTCCAAAATGTTTAATGCCCGAAAAAGCTTCCTCACCAAAAGTTCAACATAAAATAGCTTTGCGATTTTTAGCTTTGGTCTAAAGCGTTTCTTTCGTGTTTTTTTGTTTTTTTTTTTAAATCCATTCATGGCAAAACAGCACCCAAAGAAAAGCTTCGGCTTTAGGCTATGCAGCCCAATCATGAAGCCTACTTCATTGACAACCTGGAGCTTTTAGTCTGAGCTAAAAAAACAAACATCAGCAACTCACATAAGTAATTAATTTGCATCAGCTCCTGACAGTATTGATTGCCATATACTTAGCATGGCCTCCTACTCCATTGCCCACTGAACTCAGCAAAAAAGTCTATGTTTCAGTTTGAAAGAATCAACAGAATTTCTAATGGCTTGTGCAATCTCAATGCTTATGTAAGGCACATAAAAAAAGTAGGTGAAATTAAACAGAGCTTTAAAGGCATCCAAACCATCACAGCGTCTTTATTTGCACACACAATGTAGTCCCGTTTCCAGGAGGGATGGACCCAATCACAACCTTACAAATAACAGATCGAAAGTAAATTTTACTGCCTCCAGAAACACCCTGTCCACACAAACATACACATTAGAGCCATGAAAACGATATACTACATAAAATGCCAGTGTCTCAGTTGCAACTTCGTTAAAAATACACAATATAAAGTTTTTTTTGGCACAGCAAACAGTCCAATCAAAACAAGCCATATCCGGTTTGTCTGACATTCTTCTTTACCAGTACTCAAGAGGTACAGATTTATTAACTTCATTAAAGCAAACCTAAATATCATCTGATACCATGATACTATGATATATTTGGAAAACATTAAAATATTGAATCATATCAATACCACTACTAACCTGGTGTAGGTTTTAATGTCAAAGTTGTCATAAAACCAACAAAGGAAACAGAATTTTACTTCAAAGGTCAAAACACAAAGAGTCTGTACAGGATTATCACAACACAGCAGTGGTCAGTCAGCCTCCGCCAAATCCTGAGTCTGGACACCTGTCAGTGGCACCACCTGTCCAACACAGCAACGCCAACACACTGTGGCCAGTAGCCTGGGCTTTAGACAAATTATACAAATCTTTCTATGAAACCGAATAAAATCACACACTGCACATGTTAAGCAATGTGCCAAATGTCATTAGCACATACAAGCGACCTCTGTGTTAATTCACTGTAAAACTAGTGGGGTTACCTACATCACCCTTATGTGGATTATATAAGTATGGCACATATAGGTTAATTGTAACTCTTAATACCCTTTTTTGACCTTATGCCAATGCCAGGAAAGCAAAACCACCATTCATAAGCAGCCTCTGTGTTAATTCATTGCAGAATTAGTAGCCCCCAGATCCAAGATACAAGTTAAAACTTACACTACAATGCCCTTAATGAAATACATCGCCACGGTATCCTTATTATGATTTAATTCTAACTTTCTGACAGGACAAAAGAAGAGCAAAAAGGGAGCAAAGGGAGAAGCCAAAGCACGATTCATACTTCAAGCTGTTCACAGCACACCATGCTAACGTTTTTGCCATAAAGGCGAAGGCAGCTAGTTAACATGTGCAAGCAAATAATAATAAAATTGAGCCACGGACAAAACAAACGACTAGACAAGACTTACCAAAGTATTACATCCAGTCCCAATATTACATCCGATTCGCGCCAAGTTTAGCGAAAAACTCAGATCAAACTCAGCACTGCAGCTGCAGCTTAACGTTCATGTTACTTCCTGCAGAAAAGTCTACCTAACCTGACATCGTTCTTTAAACTGAAGTCAACTTCTTACCCCAGTTTTCCAGTTCCACCTTAAATGGTGCAGCAGTTACACTCTGAAGCCTCAGGCGCCAGAACTAAGTGCTGCACCATTTAAGGTGGAACCAGAAACTGGCGAATAGGAAGCCAACTTCAGCTTCGTCCAGTGTTCAGGACACACACGTGTGTTCATTTTCGAAGCATATGCAATACAAAAAAAACTAAAGCTTACTGACATAGACTAAGTATTTCGCTCACCTCTTACAGCATCATTCGTGTCTTTTCTGTAGATATGTGTCCAGCAAGCTGCTGTCAGAGCACAAGTTGGAGTTCACAGCCCGATTCGTTGTTGCTGGGTTTCTATGAAACGCGTTAGCAAGGGAAGCTAAACACGCCAGTTAGCGTTAGCATTAACCCTTCATAGTTATATCAGCCTTAACCCTTAATGTTAACCTTAAGATATGCCAGTGTTATTGTTATTATTAGCGTTAGCACTTGCTTTAATTCATATTGTTAACGTTAATGTTAATATTAGCGTTAGCCTTTGCTCTTACTGTTAGCTTAGCCAACGAGACTATTCATTTTCTTAAATAACGTTACCCTGATTCTCGGTCATCAAAATAAAATGCTCGGAATGACTGGACTCGATACAGTTACATTTTAGGTCCGCCGTGTTATTATATTCATCATTTTCGACCTCTCTCGCGGACGTTAGCTGTTGCTAAAAGCGGCTTTTCACAGAGCCGCATTAAAAAAAATAAAAGAGGAAAAAAACACCAGCGTGTCTGGCCGTGACGTCACCACGCAGGGACAGAAAGAGACGAAGAGAAAGAAGAGAACTGACTGCTAACGACTCTAATACATGTGATAACAGAAACACAGAGATGTATGACCTCTTTATATGTTTATTCACACACTTTTCCATTTGACCCGTATTTGGCTGTCTTACATAAATTAGATGGTAAAGGAACGAGAGAAACGGCAGCAATAGGCTGTATGAAGGATAATACAACCAGTACTTTGTTCACTTACTGCCTCTGATGATTCAGTGTGCTAATGCACAAGGTCCTGATGTAAATTATAGCTCAGTCACAACTGGCTTTTTACCTGAATGAATGGATGAGTGATTGGACAAATAAATGAATGATGCAAATGAGGACATTTAACTTGGTTAAGAAAATGTAGAGGACAAGTTAAGATCATAAAAAGTGACATGAAAACATGGCCAAGAAACTCACATCAGCTCTTCCATATGTTAAACCAGGGCTGTCCAAAGCATGGCCTGTGAGCCCAAGACATAATGTTTAGGCACCCCTGTGTTAAACACACTTCAATTTTTAGTTTTACTGTTTATTGAGGAATTAAAGACTTTTATGTATATTAACCTGAGCAGTTCTTTGCTGTAGCAGAGCTTTGATGGTGTTGTCAAAGCAAAGTAAACAGCATTTACAAAAAAGCCTTAATACATACCATATTTTCTCAGATGGATAATTATGATGTTGGACATTAGCACCATGATTAGAACATGCTAATGAACATAACTACACTAGAATAATGATCAGTGCTGAGTAAAAATGAATGAATATGATGTGGGTTGCTTTTGGCATATGGCTAATTGACAGTGATTAGTGACTTTGTTTAAATGCTGATGAAGTTACTGTGTAATTCTGTGGGAATGTTGCGTTGAATGATTTGTGTAAAGGCTGTCTGAGTTCAGGGTGTTTATACCATGTGTAGGCTGTGTTAAAGGTTTTGAGTGTCTTGGGAAAGAGTGTTTTAGTCACAGGAACAGTGTTTTATAGTGATAGTAATAGTTCTATAGTGTTATAATGTAACATATAGTATAGTGTAACAAGCCAGTCTTTATCCTCTGCAGCTAGCAAGATACAACTCCAGAGAGGCTTTCCAATAACACTCCGCATCTGAGCACTAAAACACTCTCGAGTTAGTGAATGGAGAGTTACTCTACCTGGCAAATGTTTGAGGACTACTTACATTCTTCTTTTATACACACACACACACATATATATATATATATATATATATATATATATATATATATATATATATATATATATATATATGTATATATATATAGAGAGAGAGAGAGAGAGAGAGAGTAGGTTCTAATTCTACACTCTTCACTCTAAAAAAAGTTCTTCAAGGATTCTTTAGTAAAGACAATGGTTCTATAGAACCATGAACACTCAAAGAACAATTTGCATGCCTAAAGGGTTCTTTGCATTGTCAAATTGTTCTTTAGATTGATGGAGAGTGTGTTGTAAATAGTTCTATATAGAAGCTCTTTGAAAATGGTTCTTTGTAGCACCAAAAAAGGGTTCTTCTATTGTTACAAGCTTGAAATCATAGCAATAATATAACGCTTTTTGGTGCTATGTAGAACCCCTTTCACATACAACACATTCTCCATCAATCTGAAGAACGATTTCACCATGCAAAGAACCATTTAAGCATGCGAATGGTTCTTTAAGTGTTCATGGTTCTATATAGAACCATTGTCTTTACTAAAGAACCCTTAAAGAACCATCTTTAGCTGGCCAGTCTGAAGTGATCTGAGAGGCCTGATAGGTTTGTATTATTCAATTAAACCAGGGATGTATTTTGGTCGTAAGCCAGTGAGTGACTTATAAACAAGTGGCAATAAAAACAAATGCTGTAATTGACTGGCAGCCAGTGTAGGGACCTTAATATCAGGGTAATGTGCTCAGTTCTGTTTGTCTTTGTGAACATTCTAGCTGCAGAATTTGTAGCTGTAGCTGTCTAACAGTCTTTTTTGGACCAGTTAACAGTCCACTGCAGTAATCCAACCTGCTGGAGGACATAAATTCTGCTGTTGGGAGATAAAAAGGTTTATACTCTGTCTACTAAATGTTGGATCTTCTGGACATTCTGGTACTGAAATAATCCACACACCAAACTACAAAGCTCCAATGGCAGACAATGTTGTCTGTCATAAAAAAGAGCTGCTGTCAAAGGTAGTTTACTAATATTTCATATTACATAAAATAAAGTAGTGCTCAAATGTGGACAGTGTTAAAAAAGCCAAGTGAGCAACAAATGAATGGCACCGTTGAGAACCACTTTGATTTTTGTGAAATGAAATATCAGTAAATTAAATAAACATCATCAATAAATTACTTCTGACAGCAGCATCACTATTTTTCATACTTTCATGAAAGTGATGGCTGACAGTTTGATATATGGGTTCATTTGGTATCTAAAAGCACATAATAAAACTCTTTCACTCCAAACGTGGTTCAAACAGCTGAAAGGTTTGAGTGCTGATGAGTGTTGGCATTTAACAAGGGGATAAAATGCATGGATTGTGTAATTCTTGCCAAAGCAGTGCTCATGCCATTTTCCATTGAAAATGACAAGATCTAAACAGATTTCTATTTAATATGTTACGTTATTGCAAAGTGACAAAGAAAACATACTAAAGAGGTAGGTGTTCCTGAATTTTTGACAGGCGGTGTGGTCCTGTTCCCACTGCGCTGTGCCAGTAACTCCTGACTGGGGCTTAAAGAGCTGAAAGCATAATTGCTCTAAATGATGTGTTACGTCCTTGATAGCTGAATTGCTGGAAACACACAAACAAATGGTATTTAAGAAGTGGATAAAAAAGAAAGGCCTCTGCGTAGTGGGTGTTTACTGATTTAATGTGTGTTTGGGTATAATGTGTAGGTGTGTATAATGTGTATTCTGCATATGAGTAATTTTCCCAAACAAAAATAATGTGATATACACAGGACAAATATAAAATTATTCAGCAAAATTCTTTTATGTAAAACAATTTTCAGTGCATCCAAAAACGTTTTTCACCAAAAAAGCAAAGAAAACGTACCTGTATGTTTCCAGGTCCTATTTCAAACCATAAGCTCTACATAGAACCATTTGCATCCTTTTTGAAAATGGTTCTATATAGCACCAAAAAGTATTCTTCTATTGTGACAAGCTTGACATCGTAACAATAGCAGGACCCTTTTTGATGCTATGTAGAACCGCATACAGCACATTCTCCATCAATCTGAAGAACCACTTCACCACGCAAAGAACCATTTAAACATGCAGATGGTATGATATAAAACTCATGATTCCAAATAGAACCACTCCCTTTGCTGAAGAACCCTTGAAGAAGCATCTTTTTTAAGTGTGTAGTTAAGAAGCGAACTCTATTAGCACTTATGCTAGCAGACACAGAACACTTGTTTTGCTCATATTTTTACACTGGACAAAGAAAAACTGAAGCTTTCTCTGATTCTGCACACAATCCTGTGTAGAGTCTGAGTGTGTCAATGGAGAACAGTAAAGCAGCATATAGCTTTTCATATCAGCCAGTAATTAAAGGGGAACTCCACCAGTTTTTTCCACCAATTTTTTCCACCATTTTTTTTTTAATTCTACATAATTTAATGGATAACATATAAAGTCATTCAGGGTGGATTTTAGTCAGAAGACACTTTGTCTGTTATTTCGGAGTGGTCGTAGTGAATAACAAGGGGGAAATGGAAGGTGAGTTATGGAACGTGGGCATGGAATCTCCTTCTTAAAGAACTTGCTTCGTCTGCTCAGTGGCTGAGTAAGTTGTTGTGCAAAGAAATAGTAAATCCCATTGCTGTTGGGCGAGATGGCAGCATTAACTGTACTGTTCAATCTCAATACATGATGGAACAATTTTTTCAATAGTATGCCAAAACAGGAATGTCTCAGAATATTTGGTCAGTGTATTTATTGATTTATTGTTAAACTGATGGCTGAGAAATGGACAGGCGAACAGACATAAAGAGAAAACTACAGGAACGCTACAGACTTTTTCAACCTAATGACCGTCTTCTGTGTCTGTATTGTTAGCAGTTTTATTGTACAGTCGATTACCAAAAGGCAAATTTGTTGCATTAACCTATATTTTCTCCAACAGTTGACAACAGAAGCCAATGGGCAGATGCTGAAGAAAAACAGCAGCATTGTCCTTTGACTGCAGTCATTCATTTTGCGAACCCTCTGTATATTGATGATCAAAGTTACTGAACATGTAAAACCTGACCCCTGATTTAATTTTCAGTATCAAAATGATTTTGGTGGCAGTTGTTCACCTGCAGTTGTTTTCTCATTGACAGACTCGGCCATCAAGGGCACCATAGCTAAAAAATGTGCGGACCTGTAACCCAGGATTGCTTCCAACACCGGGAGCATTTCATAAGTTCCAGCTTGGCTTCATATTTTCGATAAAATATTGATGAAGTCCACCACTATGTCTGGCTGTTCAATTTGAAGACAGCGATGCCCCCAATTTACAGTGTATTACAAAACTGGGCCTGTTCTTAAAATCCGATTGGCTGTGCCAGACGAGTAACAGGCTTCACTAACATCACAGGCTTTGAATTAAAGAAGAGCTACAGATCCCTGCTGGTGACATCAGGGATCTGTAGCTCTTCTTTAATTCAATTTTATATATATGTGTGTGTGTGTGTGTGTGTGTGTGTGTGTGTGTGTATATGTATATATATATGGTATGTCACCAGCAGGGCTCTGTAAAGAGCAATATACGAAAGAATTTCAAAACACACACAGCAGTGAGTGTGGTGACATAGCTGCTTCAATAGACCTAGAATAGCTGGGAAAAATATCCAGTACACTGGACGTTTGGAATAAGGAGGTTCTGTATTTTGGTCACAAAGTATCCCATGTATTTTACAAACTACTGTATGTATCACATGTTTAAAGGAACTATTGTGCTTTTGTTTATTCATCATTCATAAGCA